AACACTTTTAATAAAAAAAATAAAAACATTTTTTTTTAAATAAATCCGTTACAGAGAGAGTATCTCTCTCCGCGGATATTATTTTTCTGCCTGCACTTGAAACTGCCCAGTTCATGTGTTTAGGAGATATGTGTTTTTCCCCACTTTTGGGGGCACCTTGTGAGGGAAAGTTCAGCACAGTGGACACCACACTATGTTTCCCTCACTCTGTCAATAAAGGCTTCGGCCCCAGTGTTTGCCCAACACAAAACACACAAAGCTACGAATCAAATGAATTCGTTTTGGAGAGAAGACCTCTCTCCGCAAAGAAAACTTCTCACTGCAGAGAGAGGAAATCCCTCCGAACCCCTGCATGTCGCCTCTACTGTGCCCACCAGATGGCGCCTTTGCATCACAAATGAACCAGCTGGGCCCATACAGCTCCGCTCCGGCCCGAGCGGGGGCGCTCGCGAGTCACAAAGCGGCTTGGCAAGCCGTTTCAGCGCCCGAGTGGGTTTTTGCGTACCGTAACCCAGGGTTACAAGCTGCAGTTTGCAATAAAACCTCCGCATTTCAACGGCGTTCTCTCTTCTCACACAGAAGAAAACGCCTCACACATTCTGAAAGAGGAAATTTCCTCCCTCCTAACAAGGGAGCGATTCAGATGGTGCCACCCAATCTGATAAACCATGGTTTTTATTCCTGGTATTTTCATGTTCCAAAAGGCGTGGCGCCCCCTGCCCTATATTGGACCTTCGAGAGTTGAACAAACATTTGAGGAAATACAATTTCAGAATGTGCCACAAGGCTCTCTCGCCTGTGCCATAAAGCAGAACGACTGGTTCACATCAGTCGATCTGAAAGATGCTTTCTTTCACATAAGCATCTACCCTCCACACAGGAAATATCTTCGTTTCGCCTACCAAGGCATTTGTTACGAATTCACAGTTCATCTGTTCGGGCGCAATTTGAGTCCCCGAACTTTCTGTCTGTGTGCGGAGGTGGGCGTGGCGCCCCTGAGACTATCAGGGCTGAGAATTCTGACTTACTGGCTCATCATAGCCAAATCAAAGGAGAAGGTGTCGCTGGACTCCGGCCGGGTGCTCGCGCACATCACATCCCTCGGGTTCAAGGTGAATGCGAGCAAAAACAATCTGACTCCCAGTCAAAATGTCATTTTCCTGGGCTTGGAATTGAACTCAGTCTCCATGCGAGCGCGTCTCTCTCAAGAGCGCGTTCGCTCGCTGATGGACTGTCTGTCTCAGTTCAGAGAAGGGGCGAGAGTACAATATCGCACATGCCTCAGGCTGCAGGATCTCATGGCTTCATCTATCCAAGTTGTGCCTTTGGTCTCCTGAGAATGAGAACGTTCACGAAATGGGTTTTGTACACTACATTTCAGCCCGATTTGCGATCTCTGCCGCTCGGTAACGATGATGAGCGCCTGCTCGGCGGCCCTGCGCCATTGGGAGAGCGAGAACTTTTACGCATGGGGAACCCCCCTCGGGACGGTACGATGCGAAAAGTTTTGACGACAGATGCGTCCTTAACAGGTTGGGGAACCACCCAGGAAGGCAGAACGGTGAACGGTCTGTGGCTGAGCAGACTACGTTCAGCGCACATTAACTATTTAGAGCTTTTACTATTTGGAAAGCTCTGAATCATTTTCTGCCTTGCCTGCAGGGACATCCCGTTCTAGTACGGTGCGATAATACCACGGCAGTGGCTTATATCAACCGTCAGGGTGGCATGCGCTCGTCGAAACTCCACGCTCTAGCTTACAGGCTTTTGGTGTGGAGCAGACAGGTTTTTCTGTCATTACGCGTGACTCATGTCCCGGGCATTCGGAACAGAGGCGCGGATCTGCTATCGAGGGGAAACCCAATCTACGGGGATTGGCGTCTTCACCCGCAGATAGTGGAGAGGTTATGGATGAGATTGGACAGGCAGCCGTAGATCTTTTCGCCTCGCGCGAAAATCACCATTGTCCTATGTTCTTCTCGCTAAAGGACGTAGACGCGCCCCTCGGGGCAGACGCACTGGCCCACCCATGGCCCAAAGTGCGTTTGTATGCTTTTCCTCCCCTGTGCCTGATAATTTTCACATTGACCAGGGTGAGAGAGCACGGCCTGTCTCTCATTCTGATAGCACCCAGGTGGCCCAAAGCCCCGTGGCTGGCAGAGATAATCCCTCTGTTAGAAACGCCGAGCCATGGCGCCTCCCCCCTCGCACGGACATACTGTCCCAAGCCAACGGGGAGATTACCACCCCCTCCCGGACAGGGTGGCTCTCTGGGCCTGGCCCGTGAGAGGACGAACCAAAATGCACTGGGGCTCCCGCCGCGTGTAATCGCCACTACTCAGAATGCCAGGGCCGTTTCCACGCGATCCCTATATGGCTGTAAGTGGCAAGTGTTCGAAGGGTGGTATGATGGGCGTGGTTTCACATCTTATCAGTGCTCGGTGCCTGATATTTTGTGTTTCCTGCAAGACCTCATGGAAAGAGGCAGGTCCTTTTCCACTATTAAGGTCTACCTGGCTGCGATTTCAGCCTGTCATGTGGGTTTTGAGGGCTCCACTGTCAGGCAGCACCCTCTAACCCGCAGATTTATGGAGGGTGCACGCCGCTCTTTGCCGGTCATCAGGAGATCTGTTCCAGAGTGGGACCTCTCCATGGTGCTGGAAGCGCGGTCTCTGTATCCTTTTGAGCCTCTGGGGAGTATTTCCCTTAAGCTGCTGTCCCTCAAGACACCTTTGCTCTCGGCCTTGGCATCTGCTAAACGGGTCAGTGAGCTACATACACTCTCGGTTCACCCCTCGTGCGCCAAATTCTCCCTAAGTGGAGATAAGGTTTTCCTTAAGCCTAACCCGGCCTTCATGCCGAAATGCTTCCCTGCGTTCACTTCGGAGGTTTTGGAGCTATCCGCTTTTCACCCTCCACCCTTTGCCTCCCCGGAGGATCAGGGGCTGAATGCTCTGTGTCCCGTCCGTGCTCTGCAAGCATAAATGACCAGGACCAGTGCTTTCCGCAAGAGCGACCAGCTCTTTGTTTCAAGGGCTCCCCTGCACAAGGGGAGTCCCATTTCAAAGCAATGCCTCTCACACTGGCTTGTGGACGCTATACTATGGCTTATGAAGCAAAGGGAGTGCAGCCCCAAGGGGCATCAGAGCTCATTCCACAAGGGGCTTAGCCGCCTCTTGGGCTTTGTTCAGGGGAGTGCCACTGCAGGACATCTGCTCCGCGGCCAGCTGGGCCTCTCCTCATACCTTTGAGCGTTACTACCTGTTGGATGTCACCAGAACTTCGGTGGCACACACGGTCCTAGGGGTAGGGTCCTCTTAGCCCTTTCCCACAGCCCCGTTTGGTTAACCAACGAGGAGTGAATGGGGCGGCTGGCCATGTTCATTCCTGTCACCAAGCATTCGCATTCCTTCTTGGGTTTAGCTATGTGCATTGGTGGTGCGGGGGCCATTATCATGTATGTGTCTCATGCATGTTTCATGCCCTGCTTGTCCACAGCAGTTAGCGTGGCGGAAAACTTGCAGGGTCATGTTTGTGGGACGTGTCAGGCACCGCCTCTCTGAGGTGACCGTCCTTCTCTGGCCTTCAGAACCTCACTGTGAGTGTATTGGGCAATCGGGGAGCTGTCCATGTCTCTCCCATAGGTGGATCTCGAAACGAGATGATGAAAGAGAACAATAGGTTACTGTCGTAACCCCGGTTCTCTGAAACATCGAGTGGAGAGATCCACCAGCTTTGCCCCGCTTGCCGCACAAGAAGCAAATATACTTACTGAGGAATAGCAGCACGCCCAGCTGTTATGTGCCCGTAGGTAAGGGGGTGTGGCCTCACCTGGCATTGGCTGCGCGCTTCTGTCTGTTAGCCAGACTTGGTGCAATTGGATGCTTCTGTAGAGGTCAGGTACGGATGCCCTTCCCATAGGTGGATCTCTCCACTCGATGTTTCAGAGAACCGGGGTTACGACAGTAACCTATTGATTTCATCACAAATATATTTTGTCTACCGAAGATGAACAAATGACTTACGGGTTTGGAATTACATGAGGGTAAGTAATTAATGACATCGTTTTTATTTTTGGGTGTAAGCAGGTTATCTGTCCACAATAAAATGCACATAGAAATATTGAACCAGAATTAACAAGTAAATACAGTATAATCAATAATAGAAGCATTGAAGCAATAAGCTGTAGAAGTGTCGCAGTTATGACTGTTTAAATGTTTTTGTCAATATGTTCTACACTGTGGCTGAGTAGAATTTTTTTATTTGAAAAATCTCCCCATTTACTTTTGTGAAACTTGGAAATGTTGTGTAAATATAGATACATTTGGGAATCAGTCTAGTGTTTGGTTTCAATTTGTGTTGAACAGTATTCTATTCTAGGTTATGTAGAGTAATATCTATCACAGCTTCGATTTAATTACATATATACGCATCAAAAACTATTTGTATCATCATTTTACAACCTTTATCAAAACCTGCAGGCATACAAACACTGGTGACTGCATAAATGGACCTCTGATTGCATTCACTATGGTTACTGTATCCATGGAGACGACAAGGCCACCTCATGTCATGGCAGTCTAATGAAACCCAGTGCAAATCTTTACAGTAGGATACGTTTGGCATTGTTTGCATTTTGTGCGAACAGGCCATGACTAGTGTTGAAAAAATAGGCTGTTAAAAAAGAAAACTGTATATAAACTATAAAGCAAGCAACAATTATATCATCAATACTTTAATAATAAAAAACATACAAATGCAAATAAAACAATAAAAGAAACATAAATAACAATGGCACTACATCTAAAGGTGCCATAACCAGAAAGATTCCTGTAATAGTTTTTTACAATAAAAACCGTGGTGGAGCAAATATATACCCATGTGTCCTATTCCACTTTTCACTGTTCCTTGAATATTAAAAACATATTTCAAGTAACAATGTCTTAAAAAAGAAAAGAGAAAAAAAAGCAGTACAAATACAAACATACACAGCCTATTGCAAAACAGTCAATAGGAGCTGGTATTTAAAAAAAGTACACAAATAAAGAAATTAAAAGATGGCTAAACTGCTATAAAACAACCTGACAGCATTTTCACAGATACATATTCCTTAATAGCATGTGGTTTTAAATCAACTACAGACAATAGTCTGTCACTAAGAAATCCAACTTTTTTTTTTTATTATAAAAAAACAAGGCATAAACATAAAAGCACAATTAGTCTAGTGTTGCATGTCTGACCCCTATGAACAGGGGAGACACCATTTACAGACACACAAATCAAACACAATAAATAACTCAACAACAATCATAACTTTGGTACAGCACAAGATATTGATTATCACCCATCCAAATACTGAAGAATGTTTTTCAAATTGTGAAATATTAATCAAATACAAAAATGACATTAATTTGCTGTTTAGTGTAGTGAAGTCTTGTACGTCTATAGAAAGAAAGAAGAAGAAAAAAACAGTCATCTCATGAAACTTGAGATGTTTGAAAACATTGTTTCTCTAAGATCGGTGACATGTGGTTCTGAAGACTCCCATCTCCATTTACTCCGATCCGTACAGTAAACAAAACAAATCTAGAAGAGTGTTCTGAATGCAGGACCAGAGCCTCCTAAAACAAGGCCACAAGCTTAAGCACAGTCCTTTCTTCATTTGCTAGAATTCTTCAGTCAGTGTAACATGCCGAGTAAAAACATCCAGCTGACATGTTCAGAGGCTTCAGCTTGTTTGTTATTACAAAGTGTGAGAATTCATCTTCTGTACAGCAGTTAATCTTGTGTTCGTGCTTCAGGCCACTGTTGCCACTTTGTCATAGTCATTGGTGTATTCTGTGTCTGGCGTGTTGGTTTCATCCGGGTTCTTGTTCCAACAGGACAAAGCCGAGAAAAAAAGGCCAGCTCCTCCCAGCAGCACGAAGCTCCCGCTGAAGTAGAACGCCAGGTCATAGGAGTGCATCCAGTCGTGAATCCAGCCTGGAGTGAGAAACCAAACAAGTGGCAGAGTTACATACTGTATCTCCCTCCACAGGTAAACCTGCTGACTCTTTACTCTTGGCACATTTACTTAATCAAGAATTCAATTCCTGACTTTGAATTGATATAGAAAACAGAATGTAGCATTATAATTTTAATTTATGGAAGTATAATTATATGGAATCAAATTCATACAGCTAATCATAAAAGTGTTTGAATGTCACCTGGATCAGTGAAAAAAAAGTGTCCGAAATAAAGGAAAATAATCTTTTAAAAATCTAGTTTAAAAACACATTTTGGAAATGTACTTGTATTTATGTTGGTTTCATGTGTTCAAGTGTTTCATTTTTAAAAGGTTATATATATATACATATATGCTACATGACTAGAGAAAACAAAACAAATTAAAAGCGCTGTGGCGTTCCTTTTTGCCAAGAACGTCAACATTCATAATGCACTTTGATTTTGGTGTCGATCTGACTGGCTGTCCGTCGGCAGGGACACAAAAATGCGGAAGTTTGATCTTAAGTTTTAACAGAGTCTTCAAAACTCCGCCTGAAGACACACAATAATGCACTCTAAAATGTCATGTGGTGTAACCATCAAGGTAAAAGCAATTACATATTTTCCTTACAACTTAAATACGTTGTGTGATGTTGTGATGTAAATAAGCTGTAAGATGTGATTGCACACATCTTAATCATTCTTTTAAAACAAGTTATTAAATTATGCATGTTTTGCGGACAAATAAACAGACATATCTTTGTGTAATAGGTAACAGAGAAGTTGTTCATTTACATATACTACTGACTGGTTGAAAATCAGAGAACCTATCCTTTAATTCAGAAATTAAAGACATCTTCATTATAGAAGAGTTGTATTGGATATTTGAATTACAATTTCCATGTATTTTTGGATAAACAAATAGAACCTGGCAAAAAAGGAATGTCATTGACCCATCTATATAAATTTATTCATATATATATTTAATGAATTGACTTTAATTTGACGTAGTATAGTGGAAAAACACATCATGTCCCAAAATGGTCTAATTTATGCCAAAGTCGTCAAAATAAATCTTCATCCCCAAGTCATTCCAGTTCAGCATCCTGTGGTTTATGTATGTGACCAATTCCCACTGATGAATTGAAAAGAAGCTGCTTCTTAAATTCTATTTTTCCCAACTTCTGGTCTGTACTAGTTAATTTGCTAATAACTGAAGTGAACTTCCAAATCAAAATCCCACTGATGAACTGAAAAGAAAAATTCAGATTTTGGCCAATCTCTGGTCCGTACTTATTAATTTGTGAATTAAGTTCATTTTAAAGGCTTTGCATAGCGTCTGAACTAAAATCATGGCAACAAGTAAAAAAAAAAAAATACCTGCGACAGGTGGTCCAAGCATTATACTAAATCCACCAAAGAACATCAAGATCCCATATGCTTCAGTCAGACGATCCATTCCCACAACCTTAGTGGTCATGTAGGGTATGACGGACCAGTTTCCAGAAAAGAAGCCCAGCACCGCTGAGATGACCTGCAGCCCAGTGTAGTTCTTGGTGACGGGGATAATGAGAAGAGCCACCCCTGAGCCCAGCAGGGTGAAGGTGTACAGAAAGATGCTGTTCATCCAGCGGATGTCCATCGTGATGCCCAGCAGCAGCTTCCCCACTCCAGCAGCAATTGCCATGATGGAGACCAGCGGGATGGTGCTAATGCCATCGACCAGACCCTCGTTCTGGGCCAAATCCTCCAGGAAGAGAAGAGGAGTGTACGCACCCAGGCAATACGCAAACAAAGACACGCACATGGCCGAGAAGACCCTGTTCTGAAGCAGTTCCCCTGTCGACTTCAAGTATTCTAAGTACTCCTTCTGTTTCTTCTTCATAAGCCGCACCAACGCCACATAACTCAGGAGGCTCTTCTCGTACGGTGGAGGCTCTTTCGTCTCTTCGGTGATGAGAACGTTGACGGACTGTTTTTTCTTGATGGGGTCCTCCACGACAGGGCTCTTTTCCAGAACCTTCTCCTCTGCCTTCTCGACCAGCGCTGCTCTCTGTTTCAGGTAGTAGGCCGGCAGGTGCAGTGGTCTCATGAGTCCAGCACAGGCGATGATGTTTAGTGCAAAACAGCCAATTAGCAAAAGGCAGCCGTCGAGTCCAAAGAGTGCAATGAACTCATTCTGCGCCGTAGCGTAGAGAAAACCTCCAATACTTGTACCTGGAAACATGAGAAGGGTTGAATTGACTTACTTTAATTGGATATGAATGTTATTAGTACTATGGCTGACTATTTGACTATTATCAAATTGCAAGGGCTGCGATTTAAATAAAAAATCTTCAGTCATTTTTGAATGAACAATCTTATGTTCTTAACTTGGTAAAGGTTTTGGCACTTGCTATGTGAACACACACACACAAAAAATCATGGACATGATTTGAAAAGGTTAAATGGTCCTGTAACAAATAGTCACACTTGTGCTCCTCGCGGAAATGAAAACTTTTGGTACTGCAGCCAAACAAAATCTTACTGAAAGCTAATTTTCTGAGATATCAAGCTCAAATTTCAAACACAACTTGTTTAGATTTATGGCTTTGATTTTCTTGCAGTTTTTGAGTAAAACGTGATTTTGAAAATATATTTCATATAAAAAAATTAAAATAGTATCTTTGTGCATTTTTCATAACAATACACGTAAAATTCTGTTACTTTTTTAAAATTCACTTTTTTAAACTTTTTTCACTTCAGCAATAATCTGCCAAGTGTCGTCTTTGAAAAGAGATCGTACTCTTCTGTGCTTTAAAGCATTCAACATTTACAACAGTTTAAGTTGGAAATTTTACTTTCAGGTCTATGCTCAAAAAGTTAATAAATGGTTTATAAATACAGCGTAAATATAATTTAGTATGAAAAAATCCCCCAAAAATACAAAACATTATCAAACTAAAATTTAGTATTCATTTCATTGACCCAAAAAAATAAAAAAAATCGGTCATTTTTGACCGACGCGCGAAGAGCACCAGAGGGTTAAAGTTTCCTAATTTTGTTTTGAACGTCTCCTAAAATGGGTTTACATGCAAACTAGGTCAAAAAAATAGTTTCTCATAATAAACATGGCATCATCACCTCTTTTCACACAGGAGAAAACCCCCTCAAAAACCCTGCTTTTTCGAGAGCCTACGCTGCTCTGATTGGTCAGATGGCCCAGTCTGTTATGATTGGTCTACAGTTTACAGCGTGTGTCGGACACCAAACGGCCATTACCATATCTGAATTTCAGCTCCAGAGTGTAGCGATGCTACAGTGTCAAATAATATTTAATTAATAATCACATTAAATGACACAAAAAATAAATCTATACAACTTCATAATATTTATTAGAATTCGTACAAACGAATTCTTAAAAATAATAACGAAAAGAGGTGGGGTTTGTGAGATTGAGAGGAAAAGAAAAGAGGAAGTAGAGAAGCGGAAGAGAGGGTCCAGTCGGGAAGTTGGGATTCCAGTCTGAGGAAGTTGAAGTGAAATCGAGGACGTTGTTTCAGCGTGTCGTGAAGATTCCCTGTTGGATTATTGTTTATGTGGATGATCCGAATTTCTGCATTGCAAAGATGGGAAGGGACGCGCATGTACGGAATAGACGGGGTTAACTGAGCGAGCTGAAACCTGAACGTCGCCCGTAAGAAACCAAAGCCAAAGAGGATTTTGACAGTGAAGTTGAAAACCTGTGAGTGTTGGTTCTTTCACTTCGACGACCTGAGATCACCTATCCAAGAGGTAAAGAAAACATTTGCCTTCCCGTGCCTTCGCGATTAGGCTACTAGTCTCAATAAAACTTTGAACAATAGCGAACGACCCCACCCCACATCATCGGAAGAACAATTACTATCACTCCTTACTGACTCCCATTAACAGTGTTTGAACAAATTTCGTTTCCACTAAATATTTACCATGTTTTGGAATGTTTTTGATTTCTTTTATTGTTATTTTTTTTTGTTGTAAGCAAAAGCCTATTGCTGAACCCAGACGGCCGGTGCGCAGACGCGCCATTAGGCTATTTCATTTGTCAATAATTGTTTCGTTTTGCTCGTTCTTGAAGGTGTGTTTCTGGACACTAAGAGACTATAAAGTTTATTGCTACAAGATGTGAATGGACATTTCGATATCTTTTCTTTTTTCATAACGGTTGGTTAACAGAAAAATATAAAAATGTTTGTCAGTTACTAAACTGTCTGGCGCCCAACTTGAACAATTAAAACTAGAAACCACTCCGTTACAAGAGGCTTCCTCAGCACTTGGTACACAGTGATACAAATAGTAACAATGGTTTTACGAGCCCGAGTTCTCATCTTTGGAACTGCATGCAAAGTGGTTTTCCTTTCGCAGCATCTGAAAAAATAGCGTCTTCTCGAATTATAGACAACATGAACAATCATCTCTTCCAGGCCTACAGTGTTTGAGGGAGGGTCAAAGTAGATGTTTTTTATGAGCAGCCAATGAAGCTAGGCTGGCATTATGCTGATTTGTTACAAACCTCTGTAGGTTCGTGCAGGAAGCAAGACTGATATTACAGATGACTCGTTTCAGGCAGTTCAGAATAGGTTCTTTCTTTTGGGAGACAGTAACTCCATTTATCGTTCACTTTGATCTTAGAAAGCTGGGAACTGTGTTCTTACATGTGAGCAGCTCATTATTATTCACAGAAACTGCTGCTCTTTGCATTTGGGAACACAACATTGTAATGATAAGTGCTTATCAACAATAGAGAATATATGGCCAAATTGTGCAGCCCTAAAAACAAGCACAGCAAACCTGGAATATTTTCCACATTTTATATCATAATTGCGATTTTTATTAGAAATAAAGTCAATAAGTACTATTTTTACACATTTTAGAAAAATAGTAGTCATGAAAACTTTTCCTTTTTTTTAAACAGCATTGAAGGAGTTCGCATGTGCTACATATCTCCCCATCCGATCCAACTCATCCATTTGAAATAAATAAATAATTAAATTAATAAAATGTCAGCTTTGTATAGCTTTGAATACAGTTATATTCATGCTTTGAGATAAAAATGTTTTTAAAATGATGAGAAACATACATTTTGTCAAGTCGTGTCTCTAAACATTGGACTAGTAGTGTATTATTTTCAACTGATCATATATTTAGCCTACCTGTTGTAACAATGCCGAGAGCAAGACCGCGTCTCTTGTCAAAATATTGGCAAGTGATGGTTACAGTAGCAGCGTAAACAAGTCCACAGCCTAGTCCTGTATAATAAAAGTGTGAGGTTAAAGAAAAGTTCACCTGCTCATTTAATCTTCATTATAATCTTATAATCAACTATAATAAAGGTAAACAGATTTGTGTTGCTGTCCAAGAAAAGGGGGCTTGAGCACAAGACCATACTCAAACTCTAAATATCCCCCTAAACTACAGAATAATTGAAGGGATAGTTCACCCAAAAATTAAAACTCTGTCATTAATTACTCACCTTCATGTCGTTCCAAACCCTTAAAAGAATACTCCACCCAAAAATGAAAATTCTGTCATTATTTACTCACCCTCAAGTTGTTGCAAACCTGTATGAGTTTCTTTCTTCTGCTGAACACAAAGGAAGATATTTTGAAGAACGATTGGAACTTTGGCACCATTGCCATTTTTTTTTTCTACTATGACAGTCAATGGTGCCAAACAACTGTTTGGTTCCAATCGTTCTTCAAAATATCTTCCTTTTTGTTCAGCAGAAGAAAGAAACTCATACAGGTGAGTAAACTCATACTCAAACAACTTGAGGGTGAGTGAATGATGACAGAATTTTCATTTTTGGGTGGAGTATCCCTTTAAGACTTTTGTTCATCTTCGGTACACAAATGAAGATATTTTTTATGAAATCTGAGAGCTTGGTTTTGAAATTGGTTCTCGCACATCAAGGGAACATTTGAGTTTCCGTTTTCCACAACTGATGTGTGAATTAATGATATGTGAATAAAAGCCTAAATTCAATCTTATGAACTTTTTGAAGCGTCAAAGTGGTAGTTGTGTGGACTGTCAAAGAAAGGACAGAAAGATCAAAAAGATCTTCATTTGTGTTCAGAAGATGAACGAAAGTCATACGGGTTTGAAACGACATGAAGGTGAGTAATTAATGACAGAATTTTCATTTTTGGGTGAACTAGGCTATCCCTTTAAGTTAGTAATACATTTATAGATATAATAGATATTTAAAATAGGATTTAATATGCCAATAAATATGGCGACTTTTTAATGTTTTAATACATTTTGAGCAAATATTGTGAAAATAAGTGCATTTAATTTTTAGCAAATTTTTCAGCATTATATCCTCCATCAGCCCACATTCAGACTTTGAAATGTGAGATACTTACCAACAACTATCCCATAGGAAAATATGAGAAACTGAACATTGGGTGCAAAAGCGCTAAGCATAAGCCCTCCGGAGACCATGACCCCGCTGAAGATGGTTACGGGTCTGGCCCCGAAGTTCACAACACAGGCACTGCAGATGGGACCTGTGCAAAAGGACAAAAGCATCACCTTATTAGAGAATGGGAAACTCAAAATAAATAAAAAAACAATCCATAACTGCTTACAAAAATCTGATGTAAGCCGAGGCATTTAACTAGGCAGATTTGGAGTGCAGGTTTTGATTGATTTATGAAAGCACAGGACATGACATCAAATGTCCCACTGACACAAACCGAAAATCATTAGTCACAGTTGTAGCCCTATTGATTTGACACGCTACTCTTTATTTTATATTGGTAAACAAGTTTTATAATGAAAAACAAGGTCAAGCCTTATAATAAAAGAATGAGAAACTTTTAATTTAATAATTGCTCTGTATTTATAGTTTGAAGTTGAATTATGATCATATGGAGTAGGAAAGCATAGTCATTACACTCATTGTGGTTAGTTATGTTTATGTTTACCATGGTATATTTACCTGGAACAAAGGGGAAAAATGCAATGCATATCTTTATGCAGGGTAGATTTATTAAGCATTAAGTATCTCATATCAATGTTGAAAACTTACTAGCAATGAGTCCGACCCCAGACACGAGAGAGCCGACCCACGCTGTAGTGCCTTTGCCATCCTGGAAGGTGTTCAGCCATTCCGGGTAAAGCACCCCCACGGACTGAGGCGAGCCGTAGGCCAGGAGCTGACCCATGAAAGAGGCAACCACAATGGCCCAACCCCATCCACCATCCGGGGCTTGCTTTGTGTTTCCTGCGCTCATGTTTACACTGGGTTCCTGTGGTGAAAAACACATTTAAAGAAATCGTTCAGCCAAAAAATGACATTTTATTTTCTTACACACACACAGACACACACACACACACACACACACGGTATCATGTTTTATGGGGACTTAATTCCATAGACATGATTTTCATTCTGTACATTCTGTCCCCTTACACTAACCCTACCCCTAAACCTTCCCATCATAGAAAACTTTCTGCCTTTTTACACTTTCCAAAAACACAATTTAGTATGATTTATGAACCTTCCACAATAGAACAACACCTACGGCAAGCTGTGCGGAATGCGCGTAAAAGCAGCGCACGGACGCAAGAGTTCAGGAGCGCGCACGGTTGCAGCTGTGCACTGCACTCATCCGTTCTCCTGTCCTGAACTCTTGTCAAGTCAAGTCACCTTTATTTATATAGCGCTTTATACAATACACAGATAGTTTCAAAACAGCTTTACAGCAATAGCAGGAAAATGATGCATTTCGGCTGTTGTTCAGCTGTTGTCAGTTTAGTGTCGATTCAGTTCCGTTGTAAAGATCATCAGTAATGAAATGAGTTCATTTAATCTAATGCAATTCTGCAAAAAATGATGTCATCGTCCAACTCAGTTCAGTTCTCATAGAACAGTACAGTAATATTGTTGAATATTAGGTCTACTCAAATACTTCTTACTGCTTCATTTTCAACATAAGCCTATGTTTTTGTTTATTAGTTTCAAACAAATACAATTCAAACTGATGTGAATATTATCAACGTAAAAAAAAAAACGGGGGAAAAACGATGAAAAACATATAGGTTGTTTAATTTAAAGCTGAAAACCTGTTTGCTTTTTGTGACGTGAATATCCAATATATTAAAGAATAGTACTATTAAAAACATAATAACGTCTCACTAAGATAATGAAAGTAATGCATTACCTCCCCAACCGGGAAATGATGATGATGTAAATTCAGTTCAGGATGTTGAACTGGCTCTTTGGACAATCCGGTGTTATGATTTTAAAAGTCATATCATTGTGTCATAATGTGAGATGACCGCTGTGATCGATATGAATGGTAGTGGATGTGTTGGTCTGCAACATCCCTGTCTTCATCATTGTGCGGAGTGTTCTTCATGAGCTCCAGCTTTTGTTGCCAGACGTTTAAACCGGTTTGAAGCTGTTCTCGCTGGCCCAGCTTCACATTTCGATGCTCTAACTTCCTTTCTTATTCTGTGACAATAAACACAGCATGGCTGCAGTCAACCCAACATTGACCAATTCCCGGTAACACTTAAACGATTACTTTTCGCCACTGTTGAAATGATAAATGCCATTATATATTTACAGGAAGCATCCGCTGTGTGACACCGAAGGTAGAATGGGTAACGTTAGTTTTCCTGTGACATCGACAATGTATATAGACTGCGTTCATGGAATTTGCTCAATTTGACAAATTTAATTTGAATTCTTACTGTAGATTAAATTGTAAACACATGCCACGTGCATCTTTATGTATGTGCGATGCGGTTCCAGTCCGAACCGGTTGATGATGACAATACAGCCGTGACACGTGTTACCGGGATCATCTGCCTCCTTTCACATCTTAAAGGGACCATAGTCTACACTTCAGAAGCGTATTTTATAACTCCACTTAATGTGTCATTTAAAAAAAAGCATTGCACCCAAAACTGACCTTTAAAACTAAAGTTCACCCAAAAATTATGAAACAAAATGTATTCACCCTAAACCAACAAGATAACTATGCTCTATGCTCATTACGCCTGCATTTATTTGATTAAAAATACAGAAAAACAACAGCAATATTGTGAAATATTATTACAATTGAAAATAATGGTTTTCTATTTTAATATTCTTTAAAATATAATTTATTTGTGATGCAAAGGTGAAGTTTCATAACTCCAGTCTTCATTGTCACATGACCTTCAGAAATCATTCTAAGCCGCTTTGATACTTTCATTGATAAATAAAAAGTTTAAAAGACAAGCATTTATCACTTTATGATAACATTTATTTTAATAGCATTTCAAAATGTATGGATTTTTTTAACACATCCTTGCTGAATAAAAGAAAGAAAAAAATGACTGAACCAATTTTTTTTAACGGTAATGTATATCGTTACAAAATATTTCTATTTGAAATAAATGCTGTTTTTTTCTAACTTTTTATTCATCAAAGAATCCTGAAAAAAAGTACCACAGGATATTAAAAAATATTAAGCAGCACAACTGTTTCCAACATTTATAAATCTGCATATTAGAATGATTCCTGAAGGATCATGTGACACTGAAGACTGGAGTAATGATGCTGAAAATTCAGCTTTGCATCACAGAAATAAATCATATTTTAAAATATATTCAAATTTTAAATTGTAATATTTCACAATATTACTGTTTTTTCTGTATTTTTGATCAAATAAATGCAGGCTTAATAAACATAAAGAGATTTCTTTCGAAAACAGTCAAGTTTTCAAACTTTTGACTGGTACTGTATATCAATATATATATGCATAAAGAGAGAGAAAGTTGATGGTGATTTACATTTATAGGTAATAGAATAAGTGACAAAAGAATGACAAGTACATTTTCCATATGGTTAGGAAAAATGCATTTAAAGCAATACAATGCCTTAATGGAAAAATTACTGCAGTGTGAGTGTGGGCGGTATTGTTGCAGAGTTCAAGCTATTCTCATGCAGTTTCCAGCTCTTTACTATCCATTTCGACATCACATACTGTACATAAATATAAACTTCAAAATGCATATTTTAAATCACACATCTTTATCAAATCAGGCCCTTGAGATTCTGCCAGTGGGACAGACACTCATGCTAAATTTCTCACAGTATCAGAGCGAGGTCTTTAGTACAGAGGGAATGCACTGCAAAGATAAAGCCCAGTGCAACAATCCGTGGGAACAAAAAGAAAACCACAAGACCAAAAGCTGCCAGCAAAGTTTCCTCACAGCACTCCCTCAAACACCTTTAAGAAAACACTACTTGAATATGTTATGAGACCTGCAGTTTAGGCTGAAACATTTACTAAGAAAAATAGTGAGATTGAAGATGATGTGTAACAATATCACATGTTTACAACCAACACAGTGAAGAGGTGGTAATGTCACAATGCAATTCAACCAGCAGAACAATGACAAAGCATTCATATTTAAGGCATTTAGCAGATGCTTTTATCCAAACTGACATGAAAAGGTGATTTATCTTCAAAGAAATTATTCTGCAAATAATAGTTAAAAAGACAGTGCAGGGTCATTAGAGTTTTTATACCAATTCGAGACTTTCAGTTATAATCATCATCGTTTTAATAACCAAAATAACCATTACATAATGTAGCTAGTTTTTACTTTACAAATGATGCAATGCAAACCAGAATTAGTATCTGTTGTGACAAAAAAAAAAAAAACCACTGAACCACATATTAAGGCATTAATAGTCTGATGTGGGGATAAGCTAGAGCAATACCACAGCGAGTTAAGGCTCAAAGGTGTCCTGTTAATGATAGCAGTAAAATGAGCAAACGTTACATTCAGTCGTCAACAGTCTTAAAATAAAAGGTGGGTGAGGCTGGAAATTACAAAAACTGAAGTCAAATTAACAAAGTATTATTTTTCTATACAAAGATATTTACAGAGACAACAGTAAAAAAAAAAATATGAAGGTAAACAAAAGTGTAACATTAAATTAAATATATTCCTGGCTCTACAAAATCTAATGAATTGTGCTCTAAAAGAATACATGGAGAAAAAAAAAGAAAAAAAAATGTATAGACACACCCTGTTTTGAGGATGAAAAGCGCTGATGTCATGCTTCAGCAAACACAGTTGTGTTTTTGTAAGAGGTTGTACACACTTTCAGCATTCACTTAGCAACAGTAACCAACCAACTTAACCACAACAGCCCAGGAGTGTGTTTGTCCAAAAGCATTATTAGCCAACCATGGTCGCAAGTTTTCTTGAACTCCGATGGAAACGACAGAACTTGCGACCATAGTTGGCTTTGGGAAATTAATGATTGGTTTGGCTTCCGTAAATCAGCATGAAACATTTTTAAACACTTTTCAAAAAGGGACCCCCATAAGAATTTTGGGTATTGGGCAAATTTGCAAAGCATACAAAAAAAAAAAACTATTTACACATGCTTTAATTCACTTCCCATTACTTTATACTCAGTATATTTATAAGTAAGAAAACAAATATCACAGTGGTACCAGACACCGTTAAGCAGAAAACAGCTGCAGGTGTGTTTGTAAAGAGAAACGAGACGATCACCACACAAAAACACACTAGTCTTTTCTAATCTACAGCATTTGATGAATCAAGTGTCTTGCTGAAATTTAAAAAAGCTTTTAGATCCTACCAGGAGGATAAAAGCAGATGCCAACAACGCATTACATCTGCAGCGGCTCCAAAACACTAGTCATCTACTGCAGAATCTTCTCATTCAAACAGCTCAGTCACTTACAGTCCAGGTCAGAAAACAATGAAACTAAACACTTTGCATAAAGAAAATGAAGCCATATGCTGAATTAGATTTTTGTTTTTCACATGAGAATTTGTCAGGAAAATGTGCTTGTCATTAAAATAATGCCACAATGTTTTATACAATGTCACAATTATATTTATGAAAATATTGAGAGAATTTAAATATATTTATAAGTTTGAATGAATATATATATATATATATATATATATATATATATGTATTTATTCAAACTTACATATATAAATAATGGAAATTTGGTCCTCAGGTTTCATTTTCTTTATGCATTTTTTTCTTTCTTTTTTTTTTCTGATCTTGAGATGATATATGACCTGGACATTTCTTTGTGAGCTTTCTTCATCACTAATGCTAAGCATTTTCAGCACGATTAACATATTTTGCGGTCTTGCTTTCCGAAAATGTTTATGAGGCAACTATCAAATGCATATTGCAGTATAAATTTATTTAACTGATAATTTAAGAGTAATATTTGGGCCAGAGTATTATCAATAAAAGGCCATTAGATGCTTTGTCCATGATTCCATCTGAAGTACCGAACCTACCCTTGGCTTTCTGGAACGTCCTAATGGTCTACTCTGGCTGACACTTTTAAAGTGTCTAAACATGAAAAAAATATATGAAACCATCTACGAACAAGCAATTTCTAAGAGATTGCTATGGGCGTAGATCGCTTGACACACACCGATGTCAAAGCACTAAGTACTTGCTAAAACTGTGCTATACACCAAAGACGTGTTCATTCCCTCTGAGCTGGAAATGCCTTTACCCCGTGTCTCAAGTGGACACATTCTTCCAAACAGAAAACTATGAACACAAGACAAATGAATGGTTTCAGTGCGAGACGAAGATAAGGATTTTTAATCCTTTGGCATAAAGGATGTTACAGTGAAGCAGCTCTGTTTGGAGTCCTCTCCGATGGCGCATTGACCTATGGCTGCATGGACTGCTGGGATGATGTTGGGTGTCCGGTGGGTGGCGGGGGAGGTGGTGGTTGCACACCAGCATGCGTGTTGGGGGAAGGTGGAGGCGTGGGCCGCTTGAATTTATCAGGACTGTTGCTTCTTCTTGGGGAGGGTCTCTGTGAGGGCAGAAAGGACAGTAAATAATCTAGAACTTTCCATGGGATGTGATACAACTGATGTTTAGAACAGCTGAAGATTCACACCAGCACCATCTAGAACCATTAAGACCCTCTTCAAGCAAAATAGAACGAACTGGCGTGACGTCACCAAACAAACTTAATTTTGTCCTGATTTTGTTCAGAGTTTGTTTCTGGAGTTCAAAACGGTATGTTCAGGCTGGTAAACTCCTTTGGACTACTGTACCGGTTTGTCATGTTTAACACTGTAAAGCTGCTTGCTTTAAAGCAATCTTTTTTTATAAAGTGGTATATAAATAAACGTGAATGGAGTGCTGAGTCAAAGGTTTAAGGCTTTTTAAGACCTGCACAATTAACATTAATACCATATGGGCGGGTAGAGCAAGGTCTAAGGTAGCATCCAAACCATAAAAAAACAAAACAAAAAAAACCCGTCATGATCCCTTTAACAGTTGGCTGTGATGAGCTACCAACATTTCTGAATGTTTGTTCAATGTTTGAAATGTAATCCAAATGACCTTTAGCACATAATAAACACATTACAACAAGATAAAGTAAAGACTATAGGCCCATATTGAAACTGTGCTAAATGCTTGGAGCCGTCTGCAGAAAACTGTACTGAATAAACTCTTCTGTGATTGTGCATTACAGGGTATCTGCAGTTTTTAAAATAAAATAAAAATGTATACAGGCTGGGGAACACATTCAACAAGGAATATTAGTAAAACAGGGAAACTGCTAATTTAAAATACTCTCAACTAGAGTTGCACGGCTCTTAACTGAGAATCACAATTTTTTTTGTCACGATTGTCCCACAATTCTGAATAGACAACTAAATAAAATAATGTAATTTTTTAGAGGTTCTGACAAAATGTTAATTGCTGCAGTCTATTTAAAAAAAAAAAAAAAAGATTTTAAATTGAATGAATGATTCAATGACTCACTCATAAAGACTTCACTTGTTTGACTGTTTGAACGAATCTCATGAATAAATCAATAAAATGACTGCTTTGCACTTGTCGCCACCCTACTGGTGTAACAATGTAATTGATTCAATCTTTATTTGAAGCTAATGCAGATTTAAATGTACCGCTGTGATCGTACTTGTCAAAAGTTTAATAGAAATAGCTATATCGTTGTCATTTAGGAATACAATTGCGTGGGTATTTGAATCAAGATTACAATCTTTTAACGATTAATCGCGCAGCTCTAGTACATACGTATTGAAATTGGTACATGTACTTATATATGTACCAATACATAAGAATTAAAGGTTACCCATAATAATGTTTTTTTTTTATTATTCTGCCAAATGTGTTAAATAATGTTCTTTCCTTAGTGAAAGATAAGGTACACATGTGGATAAGTCAGGCTGCACGATAGTACGCATATACTATAAAGGTAGGTTAAGGGCCATGTCACTGTCAGCAGCAATAGCTGCGTTGTTAAAAGTTGATTGTAATGTTATTTTTGCAGAAGTAATATCTGGACTTCGATCGAGGCAGGTCTGGATCAGAGTTCTCTGTTAGATAGAATAAATCCCTTTGCAGTAGACCATGAGCTTTATAACTTTGCAGTAGACTATGAGCTTTATAACTTTGCAGTAGACCATGAGCTTCATAACTTTGCAGTAGACCATGAGCTTTATAACTTTGCAGTAGACCATGAGCTTTATAACTCTGCAGATCTTATACATGCACAAACAGATACATTACACACTAAAGGAAAACATTAAAAAGCATCATATGACCCCTTTAAACAAGTACTTAAGAGAGCTTTCTAAGTAAAATTTTTACCCAATTGCATTAAAAACAGAGCAGTCTAACAAGGTATGTTTAACAGAAAGGGGGGATGAAATGTCCCAAACAACATCTAGTGTACACCACTTAAACGAATCATTTGGAAACGGAATAAAAGTCTAAGATTTTAGGATGGATTTCTAGCTGATGCCGAAATTGACCGTGTATGGATACATAAAAACCAAAGTATACTTTGGGCTTATTAGGAAGGGAAAAAACTCAGACAGTCATGATGGTGCAGGCCAGAAGGAACTCACTGCTATGCCGTGCGAGGCTCCTACGTGGACATGCAGGCCGGGTGTGTTGTAGTAGGACATGCCTGCTCTGGTCAGAGTAGTTGGCGGGGTGAAGCCCACTGTGTGACTCGCATAAGACAACCCTGCAAAACCAAACATAATGAGGTACACAAAGTCAGTGAAGCTTTAGCAAATTCACTGAAGTGTGTTATTATACGGAGTTAATGAACTGGTCACTCTTTTCCACACAATAACAATGAATAGAGATTGAAGGGTTCAGGATTAAAAAAAGAACACAAAAGCAACATAAATGCAATTTTAATGAACCAATTCACTGAAAGGATTTGATCTATAAAAAACAACAATAAAAAAACATTAATTCTCAAATAGGCAAATGAACACCAACATAGTAAGGAACAGACCAAAAATGTATCACAGGTATACAAAGCACTTTTATCATACTTTTTTTTTGGAGCTTTACAGACCCAATTCACATTTACTTGTATTATGTTGAAAAGTGCAGCCAGGTAGCTAAACCTTTAAAGTCCCTGTAAAGGCAATTCAAAAAAAAAAAAATCTAAACCCATTATAAATGTTAGAAATGTATTGCTAAAACATATTACAAAGACTGTGAACTGTGAAGTACTGAATTGTTGAGTTAGACCGTTAAACAGTTTTTCACCATTGCTATTTTGCGGGCTTTTTGGGCGGGGCTAAAACGGGGCTCGATGACGCACTGGAGCCCCTGAGCTCATGGACACGCCCCTACTTGATGACGCACTGGAGCCCCTGAGCTCATGGACACGCCCCTACTTGATGACGCACTGGAGCCCCTGAGCTCATGGACACGCCCCTACTTGATGACGCACTGGAGCCCCTGAGCTCATGGACACGCCCCTACTTGATGACGCACTAGAGCCCCTGAGCTCATGGACACGCCCCTACTTGATGACGCACTGGAGCCCCTGAGCTCATGGACACGCCCCTACTTGATGACGCACTGGAGCCCCTGAGCTTCTGGACACGCCCCTACTTGATGACGCACTGGAGCCCCTGAGCTCATGGACACGCCCCTACTTGATGACGCACTGGAGCCCCTGAGCTCATGGACACGCCCCTACTTGATGACGCACTGGAGCCCCTGAGCTCATGGACACGCCCCTACTTGATGACGCACTGGAGCCCCTGAGCTCATGGACACGCCCCTACTTGATGACGCACTGGAGCCCCTGAGCTCATGGACACGCCCCTACTTGATGACGCACTGGAGCCCCTGAGCTTCTGGACACGCCCCTACTTGATGACGCACTGGAGCCCCTGAGCTCATGGACACGCCCCTACTTGATGACGCACTGGAGCCCCTGAGCTCATGGACACGCCCCTACTTGATGACGCACTGGAGCCCCTGAGCTTCTGGACACGCCCCTACTTGATGACGCACTGGAGCCCCTGAGCTCATGGACACGCCCCTACTTGATGACGCACTGGAGCCCCTGAGCTCATGGACACGCCCCTACTTGATGACGCACTAGAGCCCCTGAGCTTCTGGACACGCCCCTACTTGATGACGCACTGGAGCCCCTGAGCTCATGGACACGCCCCTACTTGATGACGCACTGGAGCCCCTGAGCTCATGGACACGCCCCTACTTGATGACGCACTAGAGCCCCTGAGCTCATGGACACGCCCCTACTTGATGACGCACTGGAGCCCCTGAGCTCATGGACACGCCCCTACTTGATGACGCACTGGAGCCCCTGAGGCTGGCCACTCCCCTAACAATAGAGCACATTCACATCAGTTTGGCGCTCAATCGCGAGTTACTGTCAGTACTATTAGTTACTACAGCCTACAGCTTTCTAGCTAGCTATGCCTTCGACACGGAAATGCGTAGGCTACTACCTGGATGCGATCATGTACAAAACAGATCGGTGTCCTTATTTCATTTTCCCGAAAAACGATCACATCAAGAAGAGGTGGATTAATTTTGTGAAGAGCCAACCTTGATGGAGAGCTGAGGATTACCGCCAACACCCGCCTCTGTAGTGATAATTTTACACGGGATAGTTTTATAAACTGTCGTCTGAGACAACTGGGATTCACTGATAATCCGCTGTTACTGGTGAATGGGGCCGAACCGACTATCTCCCGCCTCGGCCTTCATCTCCCCGTCCCGAAAGCAGTATCACCTAATATCAGCGTCGGCAGCTTTCCCGCGAGTGGGCGTGGTTTCAGCGCAGCCAGCGGACACGCCCCCAGCGTTTGAGAGCAGAGAATACTGCTCACTATTTCAAGATTTTGATAGCTTATTTGATGTACTTGCCGGCTTTTTTTATCGTTCAAATTTGGCTGGGTGGCTAATAACACATTTTTCTGTGGTGTGACAAACTCAGAACACATACTTAATTTTGACTTTACAGGGACTTTAATAAAATATATTGAGATTAATTTGCCTTTCAATCTTTGTGAACATTTTCATTAAACTCAATGCAATGCAAAGGTTACATGCTTTGATTTCAGTCAAAATATGGCATATTATTTTAGCTGCCTATTGTTTAGAACAGTCTTTGTGATGGAAACACCCATAATTGGCAGTTCACTTTGTGGTAAAAGAGCAATCTTTCAGATCTATTTGCTTGCGAATATATGCATTAATCTGAACATTCTGTTCTGCCAAGGAATGTTGAACAGACCTGCTCCTGAAGACACTGACTACTATATATATATATTTATTTTTTTCTATATTAGATTCCAATGATCAGGTGAGTCAGGAAAGCTGTATGTAGTACTATTTCAAGTAAATATGCTGTACCTGGTGAAATGGGTCTGCTGGAAGACGGGGACGGGCTGTAGGGAATGGGGCTGGATACGGTACGGGGACGTAGGCCTTGAGCGGACATCTCATTGAAGTACCTGCAGAACAATAGGTGGTGGTTAAAATATTCATCAGTGAAATTAACTGGTAAAATAGAGCATCTAAGTGAAGCAGTAGGTGTTACATAAGGGTGTGCGATATTGGCAAAAAAAAGTATATCTCAATATTTTCTTGGATTTTGTTGATTACGTGAGTTTTTGTGCAAGTACCTTGGTTGATTTAGGCCTGTCGTTGACAGCTGACTCCCAACTAGGGCTAACTCATCTTGACAGCGCCGCACCGCAGTGGTGGTACGACAAAACACATTGTATGTGAATGCTGTTTTGCGTAAATATTATGACATGAGTGAAGCACAAAGCTTTGTTTACAAAACAAATAATAGGGTAGCAATCAAATGTTACATCGCAACCATGGAAACATTTGGATTCGTGCCAAATGAGAGAGGTGTCCATAAATTTAAGCCATTTGTCGGCTTTGTATTCTGTTTTGAGATCTGATCTCCTGATCTTCCACGAATTGAACAATAATATCCACAGGACATGGAATCTCTTGTTTCTATTCCCAAATCTTCACTCATGTCTCTGGCAGTGCAACATCAAATCAAGGTCACGGTACTGTTTATTGTCTCCCATAGGAGAAATTTGTCTTGGATGAGAGAACGGCTGCAATGTCAACCCACAAAAACATACATCATACAAACATTAACAACCATTCCACATACAACACTCTGCCCTATACAAACATTCTATAAAGAACAAAATACCTATATTAAAAAAATACCCTTTTAATTCAAATATAGCCTAAATATCTTGCACCAGTGGAAGATCAAATTTGCTCTTCAAGCAAGTTTTACATTGTTGTTTATTTTACTTAATATTTAACTTTCTTATATTACCATTATTTACTAACAGGGACTAAAAATCAGCATTGGCGGGTATATGAAACGGTGTCACTCGCCAGTTGTAACATTTTTATGAATTCTAACAATGCATGAGCGTGAACAACACTGGGGACAGATAATGTGCCAGCGGTTCATGATAATGGAAGTTTAAGCTTTGACAAGAAGAATCGAAAGGGAGCTCATTATGTTACTCGCGCACTGCGGAAAGTTGTGTGTACGGCCGCACACATCTTGCGAAAAAACAAAAAACTAAACTGAGCTCTCTTTCATGTCTTCTTGCAATGTAATGGACAAATTTACACAAAATTATAAAAAAAATAGCGAGTACCTCATCGGTTATGTCTTAAGTGAATGTTAACAGTTGAGAAAGTAAACTAGTGAACTGTGTACATTTTCAGTACCGGTATATTAGATCCGTGCATTCGGTCTTAAAGTGACCGCAGCCTAATATTCCTGCTGCTGTCTGTATTTAATGTTAATCAGCAACAACACAGGACAAAAAAAAAATCATTCACTGCTCTTGACTGAATAACTTTCGTAACTTTATAAAGGATTAATCAATAAGGATGTTTAATTTATACAGTGAAGACTATGCAGTGTTATATTACATTTGCTTTATTAAATTTCTGTCCCTGAAATAGACTGTCAGACCTACCTGAAAAGCATTGTTTATTTCACCTTTGTTGTATTGTATTTAATTGCCCTTTTACTAACGATTATTTGTTCTTATTTTATTACTGACTGTTTACTTTTCTTTAATGATGTTTTGAATTTAAAATAGTAAGGCTAGTAATTAGTAGTAAAGGCTGTCGTATCGAAGTTGGAATAGAGAATTGTAAATTTCAACTGGTATCCAAAATCGAGATGTCATTACTGCCTGTTTTTGCAAAATGTAAAAAATGGCCAGTAAAAAATATGTATTGCCGGGCCATCGGCAGGTGTGGTAAAAAGTTAGTTTTAGGCCCCGTTTAATGATATTCATTTTAATATTTTACAGGCAGTAGTGTGTTGTTTAGTGCTAAAATAAACACGTTTCTAAATGCATTTATTTTAGGTCTAATATATATATATATATATATATATATACAGTAATCGACATTTGAAGTGGGTCAAAAGTTCAAAGTTGAACTAAGACAAGAACGGGTATTGTTGAAAATTCATGTATAACTTTGAAATCAAGAAATTCGTGATTCTCACAAAACTATTTTCTGCAAACTTTTGTCAAGGTAAATATAGAAAAGGACCTTTCCAGAAAAGGACACATGGAGATTCCAAAAGGACACCAAATGATATAAGGAGTCAATATAATTCATACATTTATGCACACCAAAGCACCAATAAAAAAAAAAAAAACACATTACAGAAAAAAACTTTTTAGAATTCAGTGTATAGTATGTGTACAGTGCACAGTGCAACAGCAAAGAGCTTTTAGACAAGTCAAGTAGCAATACTGAACAGGACCACGTTTGCGCATCAACATAACGGACTCAAACGTGCTTACTGTACAACTCCTGTTCCCTTGATTGCAATCTAGAGGTCGACCGATTCATCAGTTTTGCCGATATATCGTGCCGATAATTGATTGGTGGAACTATCGTTATCAGCAAAAATCCACCCCGTAATTTTTCTGGGTTCCGTCCATTGCTGGAGCGGCTGAGAAGAGTGTGCTGTCATTGCACAGTACGAGAGCGCTGAGAAGAGACTGCTGGCATTATACAGCGCGAGTGCGGCCCAACGCCAATTCAACCCCCCAAAAAAACCGACGGCATCCAACAAGAGCCAACGGTGCGGAACACACCGGAAAAACTACGTCGGCCAACGCTCAAAAACGGCCCGATGGCCGATCGTCGGCTTGGTGTGTCCCGGGATTTATGCATGTTTTCAGTGAATAAATATATACATACATACATACAGTATCTCACAAAAGTGAGTACACCCCTCACTTTTCAGCAACTATTTTAGTATATCTTCTCAAGGGACAAAACTATAGAAATGAAACTTGGATATATTTTAGAGTAGTCAGTGTGCTGCTTGTATAGCAGTATATATTTATATATCTGTCCTCTGAAAATAACTCAACTTACAGCCATTATTGTCAGAATAGCTGGCAACATATGTGGGTACACCCTAAGTAATAACAGCAGTAAGTCGTTTAACAATGCAAAGCCACATGTCCCATTCATCATGTTCATGTTTCTGTCTGCTTGACAGGACCATACAAATTTGTGCATCTTGTATTAGAGCAGTTAAAATTTGGTGTTGAGTACAATTCTCTCATACTGACCACTGGATGTTCAACATGGCACCACAAGAAAGCCTGCAAACAGTTTGCTGAAGACAACCTGTCCAAGAGCATGAATTACTGAAACCATGTCCTGTGGTCTGATGAGACTAAGATAAACTTGTTTGGCTCAGATAGTGTCCAGCATGTGTGGCGACTCCCTGGTGAGGAGTACCAAGAAAACTGTGTCTTGCCTACAGTCAAGCATGGTGGTGGTAGCATCATGGTCTGGGGCTGCATGAGTGCTGCTGGTACTGGGGAGCTGCGCTTCATTGAGGGAAACATGGATTCCAACATGTACTGTGACATATTGAAGCAGAACATGATGCCCTCCCTTCAGAAACTGGGCCGAACGGCATGATAACGACCCCAAACACACTGCCAAGATGACAACTGCCTTGCTGAGGAAGCTGAAGGTGAAGGTGATGGAGTGGCCAAGTATTTCTCCAGACCTGAACCGTGTTGAGCACCTGTCGGGCGTCCTCAAGCAGAAGGTGGAGAAGCGCCATGTGTCTAACATCCAGCAGCTCCGTGATGTCATTATGGAGGAGTGGAAGAGGGTCCCAGCAACAACCTGTGCAGCTCTGGTGAACTCCATGCCCAGGAGGATTAAGGCAGTGCTAGATGACAATGGTGCTCACACAAAATAGACACTTTGGGCACAGTTTTGACATGTTCACTTAGGGTGTACTTTTGTTGCCAGCTATTTTGACAATAATGGCCGTATGTTGAGTTATTTAAAGAGGACAGTAAATATATACTGCTATACAAGCAGCACATTGACTACTCTAAAATATATCCAAGTTTCATTTCTATAGTTATGTCCTCTGAGAAGATATACTAAAATGGTTGCCGAAATGTGAGGGGTGTACTCACTTTTGTGAGATACTGTAAATATATATCCGTTACCACTGCAGTGGTAAAAAAAAAAAAAAAACTAACACCGTCACAGCCATACTTCCAAATTAATAATGTCAGCTTCCACATCATTAAAAATCACACACCCCTAGTGTTACTTGTGATACTTTGGGCTGCTTGTACCTCTCATCGTCCATCTCCAGGCTGGACTCACTCTCAGAGAGCTGCCGGCACAGCGCCTCCCTGCGTTCCACCTCCCTCTGGAGCTTCCTCTGCAGGCGGACGTTCTCCTCCCGCATGTGGCGCTCTTCTTCTATGTACTGAGCCCTTTTCTCTGTATCTGTAAACACACACAGCAATGAGCTGAGCTTATCTTTATGGAAAAGTCATACAGTAACAGTGCATTGGTTCACATAAACAACCATGAGAAAATCAAATGAGGTCAACATGACAAAAAGCATGTGACCATGTGAGAGTTTTAGACCAGTTGATGGAACTGTTACTTGCTGACTGTATCAGGCCAGAGCATTCGTTCTTACTTTACAACAGTCTGACATTTATTAATCTTATACACAGATGAAGGTAGCGTTATCTAATTTTTCTGAAAGTACGAAAATGTTTTGTGATAACGTATCAACATAACTTGTGACACCCTTACAGGACTACAGGTGATGGACTGCTAGGTTAAAGACTAGGATTTTATGAACCATAAAAATAAAAAGGGGGGGCCTTTGCTCTCAGACTTCACAAACATGCACAAGAGCCATGAGACCACAAGTCCTCATCAAGCGTGCCCTTGAGGACAGGGTGATAGAGTATTTCAGCAGAGTAATGTGTCCTTGTTGTGAATGCACATACTGCCATCTAGTTGTCATGAAAAGTAATGGCATGAAAAAAACAAAATCACGTGGTTACAATGGTGAAAACAGGATTTGAGGAGGCTTTTTAATTGGGATGTGTAGGTCAAGTTCACCATATCCCAATGGACACATTCTTTGCTTTTTTAAGTACTTTATTACATACTCACCCCCGTTTAAAAGTTTGCGGTTGATTAGATTTTTAATTGCTTGTTGAAAGAAGTCTTATGCTCACCAAAGCCATTTTCAGCAGCCATTACTCCAGTAGTTGTCAGTATCACATAAACCAATCTAATATGCCGATTTGGTGCTCAAGAAACATTTATCATCATCAGTTGTGCTGCTAAGAAAAGTATCATGGTTTACACAAAAATATTTTCAGGATTCTTTGATGAATAGAATGAACAGCATTTATTTGACCTAAAATCTTTTGTAACATTATAAATGTCTTAACGTTACTTTTGATCAATTTAATGCCTCCTTGCTGAATAAAAGTATTAATCTCTTAATAAAAAATAAAAACCTGACTTTTAATGAAAAGGTGAAAAATAAACAATGTTTCTGAGACAGCACAAGATATAAAAGGTACACAATGAAACTTTTTTTTTTCAAAGTTTAAAGTAAAAAAAAGTTCAATAGTCAATACATAATGAATCTTTCTTCCAAGATGTGTTTTGTCTTAGGGTGTATTCACACCAGGAAAGTCCGATAGTTCACTTGCTTTGGTCCGGACCAAATACCTTTTTTTTTTTTTTTTACGGTTCGCTTTCACACTGCTCTTTTTGCAAGTGAACCAAAATTTGTAAACAAAACCACACGTGTGCTAAGGTCGTCCATTCATTGGACAAGGATTCTCAAGTAGGGAAATCAGGAAGTGCAAAAAAGGCTTAACGTAAATTAACGCAGCATCATCCTTGTATTGTAACTATCGTTACATTATATGAACTGCAAATGCTTTTTTTTGCATCTATGCGCGATTAGACTAAAGAGAACGCTCTGTATGTGAATGTCCTGATGCACACACTCATCCATTCATTCCATTCCAATGATGACAGTTGTGGGTTACAGTTTGACAAGAGTTTACAGTGTGACAAAAGCACAATGTTGTGTTTTATTGCGAGTGTACACAAATATAAGTAAACACTTTGCAGGTTTAATGATCTGTATGAACAAAATGACGGAGTATGTTTTTTTATGTTTCCACTGTTCGATCGCGATCGCGCCCGCGCCTCTCTCTCTTTCACACACACACACACACAGTTCGATCACGGCCGCGCCTCTGCGCACACACACACACACACACACACACTCCAGCATTGCAATCTTGACATTGCAGCCTGTTCATTATGCGGTCACACCAAACGCGAATAGAGCGTCAAATTCGCGTCTAGTTCGACGCTAGTCCAAAGCGAATAGGACGCGCATAAAGCAAACGTTTGAAGTGAACGCGCGTTCAGAGCTAAGCCGATGGTACAGATTATGTGTCCCTAAAGAACCCGCATATCTAACAGTAGTTCGGCATTACATTAATTAATTTGCACGCGAGTTTTATTTATTTTTATACCGTGTATTCTCCGTGTAAATTCGTGCACCGAACAGTGACGCCCGTACGTTTCGGTTCAATACGAATACATGTACCGTTCCACCCCTAATGCACACACGACGCGCAACAGATGTAATGTAGTAGGCTACAACAGATCACTTTTCCATAACGCAACTCCGACTACGGAAGCCTTTTAACTCAAAGGCGCAGTGCTTTCTTGCAGTTGGGTCGGTTCATGTTCACACCGTAAACGAACCGTACCAGAGTTCGTTTGGAACCGTACCGAGACCACCTCTTCAGCTGGGTCTCGGTTCGGTTGTTTGGTCCGCACCCGAGTTCGATTGCTGTATTCACACCTGCCCAAAAGGTCCGCACCAAGGGGGGAAACGAACTAGAGTTCGATTCAATCGAACCAAACAAGGCAGGTGTGAATACACCCTTAGCCTGATTCACTATGGCAAGCCAGCTTAAGCTTAAATGTTATATATAATTATATATATATATATATATATATTTATTAGGGGTGTAACGATACACGTATTTGTATCGACTTTCGGTTTGGTTTTCGGTACGCATTTTTGAACCGAACGGTTCATTGGACCATTTTTCCTGCCGACCAAAATTTCGTTATTTCAAATGTAGGCGCGTCACGCGTGGCAAGCGTGCTCATAATGTAGAGACGCTGGCGTGACCACAACATTGCCCAACATCAAATGGCAATTGCAATGTAAGCAGAACGAAACCACTCATTATTGTGTGGTTGACGGACCGTTTATCAGTTTGGACCAATGCAGCGCGAGCCGATCTTAATCATCAGCACTGTTACTACACAGCGAAATCCAGTAAAGAAAGCATTTGAATTCGCCACTGAAATAATAACATCGCTGCGAGATCTAGTGAGAAACATTCGCATTTCTCCGTTATTAACGGATCAAACAGCGCTGACGTGGAAACCAGGAAGAAACATTGTGCCATGAATGAACTATCCAGTGTCCACAGATCAGCAACATTCACCATGGATTTACTGTAGTAACACTACTAACTGTAACCATGGAAGTTTGGCAGGAATAGTAGGCTATAATGCTTTCAAGTAACATCACGTCGGTTTTATTTTGACATTATGAATACAATTGCTGCCCTCAAATGTTAATCTGAACAAAAATAAACCTTTGTTTATAACTACTACAATATTACATTTCATTTTGTCCAAGGAGCTGTTTTGTTTTATAAGCTCCTAAGAAAAGTCAAGTATAGCTCCATCATTGCTCAAAGTTAAAAAATATCATACTTTATGATGTTAGTTTTAATAAAAATATAATTAAAAAAATTAAATCAAGGAAATTTCTCTGGCATTTCTTTCTTTTTGCTGTATCGGAAACGTACCGAATCGTACCGAACCGAACCGTGACACAAGTGTATCGTATCGAACCGTGAATTTTGTGAACCATTACACCCCTAATATATATACACTCACCGGCCACTTTATTAGGTACCCCATGCTAGTAACGGGTTGGACCCCCTTTTGCCTTCAGAACTGCCTCAATTCTTCGTGGCATAGATTCAACAAGGTGCTGGAAGCGTTCCTCAGGGAGTTTGGTCCATATTGACATGATGGCATCACACAGTTGCCGCAAATTTGTCGGCTGCACATCCATGATGCGAATCTCCCGTTCCACCACATCCCAAAGATGCTCTATTGGGTTGAGATCTGGTGACTGTGGAGGCCATTTTAGTACAGTGAACTCATTGTCATGTTTAAGAAACCAATTTGAAATGATTAGAGCTTTGTGACATGGTGGAAGTAGCCATCAGAGGATGGGTACATGGTGGCCATAAAGGGATGGACATGGTCAGAAACAATGCTCAGGTAGGCCGTGGCATTTAAACGATGCCCAATTGGCACTAAGGGGCCTAAAGTGTGCCAGGAAAACATCCCCCACACCATTACACCACCACCACCAGCCTGCACAGTGGTAACAAGGCATGATGGTTCCATGTTCTCATTCTGTTTACGCCAAATTCTGACTCTAACATCTGAATGTCTCAACAGAAATCGAGACTCATCAGACCAGGCAACATTTTTCCAGTCTTCAACTGTTCAATTTTGGTGAGCTCTTGCAAATTGTAGCCTCTTTTTCCTATTTGTAGTGGAGATGAGTGGTACCCGGTGGAGTCTTCTGCTGTTGTAGCCCATCCGCCTCAAGGTTGTGCGTGTTGTGGCTTCACAAATGCTTTGCTGCATACCTCGGTTGTAACGAGTGGTTATTTCAGTCACTGTTGCCCTTCTATCAGCTCGAACCAGTCTGGCCATTCTCCTCTGACCTCTGGCATCAACAAGGCATTTCCGCCCACAGAACTGCCGCTCACTGGATGTTTTTTCTTTTTCGGACCATTCTCTGTAAACCCTAGAGATGGTTGTGCGTGAAAATCCCAGTAGATTAGCAGTTTCTGAAATACTCAGACCAGCCCTTCTGGCACCAACAATCATGCCACGTTCAAAGTCACTCAAATCAACTTTCTTCCCCATACTGATGCTCGGTTTGAACTGCAGGAGATTGTCTTGACCATGTCTACATGCCTAAATGCACTGAGTTGCCGCCATGTGATTGGCTGCTTAGAAATTAAGTGTTAACGAGCAGTTGGACAGGTGTACCTAATAAAGTGGCCGGTGAGTGTATATATATATATATATATATATATATATATATATATATATATATGCGTGTGTGTTTATATATATATATATATATATATATATATATATATATATATATATATATATATATATATATATATATATATATATATATATGAGGAGCTCTTTTCCAAAACGCGATAAATCCATTTCAATAGTTTTCAGGAAAATGATTTTTTTTACCTAGATCCACACATTTTGTGAATATTCAATTTAGCCTGTTAAAATGTTTTTTCCCCTCAGTCTGAACATGTTGAACAATGATTATTAAATCAAACAACAATATTGTTGATGATAAATTCAAAGTAATTTTTTTTTTTTCAAAACGCTATAAATCCACAAAAGAAAAATCCAAAAATGGATGATTTTGGCCACTTAATTAAGTTTGGTTTTGTAGAAAGCCTTTCTTTAAAGTGAATTTCGTTTTGTATAAATTGTATCTTCATTTTAATAATTTTTTCATCAACCAATTGCCAGGATTTATTAAAAAAGAAGGAAATAGACTATAGAAATAATCATGACATCGAGGCGCCCGCGTGGTCACTTGCATTGCACGTGAACTGGTGCGCATCTCATCATAAATTAACCGAAATTCAGCGTATGAGAAATATATCTATATAGAAAGCTCGAAATGTCTTTAAACGAAACAATTAAAAACGAAAATAAATAGCATACTCTCTGATTATGTAATCCATTACATGCATTTCTCTCTAGGCGCGTTCACTACAGAGATGATGATCGTCAATTTCATCTTTGCAGACACTGACACACAGAAAACAGTTGATTAATAAAAATAAAATAAAAATTTCGATTTTCGAACGATATTCGACTTTTGCTCCTTGATTGTCGAATGCCATTTTTGGCAGAAATTATAAACGGAAACCTTTGGCAGCAGCATCTACCCCAGGTGTAGGTCTCACTGGCTCATCAAGGCCATCAAACATGTTATCACCGTTTAAAGCACTCATTTTGAGGAATGAATGAACATAAACAAACCTCTGTTCAGCGCGCCGATGTTGGATTGCGTAGAACGCTCACTGAATTCTGATTTGTCGAGAGAGGATTTATCGCGTTTAGGCTAAAAATAGGTTTGGCGCTTATCGCGGTTTGGAAAAGAACTGCATCTTGCAGTACATTTTAAACAAGGAAATATAGCGATTTGGCATGAAACATTGATGGAGCAGTGAATAGGTTCAGAACACAGCAAAATGACATGACAAACTAATTTTTTTTTTAAATGGCGTTTATCGCGTTTTGGAAAAGAGCTCCTCATATATATATATATATTTAGACCAAGTGGGAAGGTTTTAGTGGAAAATTGAGTTCATGTGTCACTCGCCCGTGCCCGTGTCTCGTCATATCCGTAAATAGAGAAACATTGTTCCGGCTACTTTGACGTGTGTATGGTGTGGGAGTGACAAAGGTTAGTCGTCACAACGAGCGAGAAAGGTTGACATGGAGCAGCTAAATCTCCAACCTCCGGGGAATCACCCGTTTGAACAAAAACAGAGAACAGAGGAGAGTGCTGACAAAAAGTGAACGTGACACAGCTCGTGATAAAACGAGAATAAAGATGTACGGTGTCTATTAATGGGTGTAGCTACAGTAAAATCATCATCTAGTCAGCTTTAGATCCTTTCCATCTAAACTGGTTATATCTCTTAAGCCTAGTAGTGAATGTTTCATGAGCAGTACGATCTCATTTTTTTAGTTATGACAAAGAACCAATTTCATCCATACAGTCATGCAGAGCCGAAGCACAACCAAAACAATGTTCTTCTGTAAAATGCAGGGGTTTTTTTAACCGCTAAAGGACAAAGGTTACATAGTGTCCCTTAAAATTTTGCTGAAAGATTACAAAGACAAACATTTTCTTTAGAATATTCATTAGAGAATGAATCACGTTTTTTTAGTAAAAAGGCTAGGGCTGTCAACTTTAGTCGTTTAGTCGACTAATCGGTCGATGCCGTCTTGGTCGACTGACATTCTAATTGGTCGACCGGTTATGATTTTTTTTTTTTTTTTTTACCAATAGAAAGAAATTTTCAATGATTTACTCCTTGATTTGTATTCCTTTATAAGCAGTTATATATTACTGTATTCTAAATATAATTAGCCTATGGTTTATCCCCAACTTTAAATGCTTTAATTTAGGCTATTTTGTAACAGCGCCACAGTTTAGCACACACACATAGAACACTCGGTGGCTGGCTGCGCTGCTGCTTCGTGCTCACTAAGGGATATAGGTAGTTTAGCTGTATTCATTCAGTTAGAACGCTACTTGTTTCGGTTTTTATACACTATATGTTTTATCTCGATGCGGCGTGGACGCACTCGGAAAAAAGAGCGTGTCGCAGCACGACCGCGTTGCTTCCATTATGAGCGCGCACACCGCGCGCCTACATTTGAAATCGAACTTGAGCGCGCAAAAGACGTGAGCAGTCCCTTTAACGGCTTTATCATGCTGACTCAATAGATTGTGTTTTCTTGATATGTTTTTGTTTTTATTTGTACACTTGAAGTATTTGAAAATAGCCTAAATAATGTAACAAAACAAAAATAAACCTATATGCGGGCCTACAATACAGCCTATTATTATTAGGATTGTTTTTTAGGCTCTCTGGTTTTTTTGTGTGTTTGTTTTAAAACGCCTAGATCGGCTGGACAAAAGTTAACCCATAGCTTTGAAAGTAAAGAAAAATATACAGCCTGTATAAACGAGAGCTTTTGTTAGGATGTTTCATTATGTGGCAGATAGCAGTTATATTTTTTTGTAGCGTGTGGTGTGGTCAGGTGCGCGATTGTGACTGTCACTATAGACCTAGGACAGTGCTCCTCACTTTTTGCAGTTAAAAAAATCACTTAATTTTTAAAGAATTGTATTATTATTATTAGAGTTTTATGTATTTTTGATGTTTTTTCGTTGTTGTTTTATAAATGCTCTATGACAATTGTTAAAAAATGTTCAATCAAAACATCGCGTCTTTTTTTTTTTTTTTTTGTCGACTAATCGTTGCGCATGACAAGACTTTGGTCGACTAAGGATTTCTTTGGTTGACTACAGCCCTAAAAAAGGCTACATTTTTATTTCATGTTGTCGGTAGATCTAATGCAGTGCTGGAACTTACGCTGTAGTTCTGAAGTGCGGAGGTTCTTCTTCAGACGCTCCACCTCACTCTTGAGCAATGTGATGTGTTGCATCATATTCTCAGGTGAGTCGATCTCCATAGAGATGTCTCTCGGGGATGGAGGAGCAGAAACAGGCTGGTCAAGCTTCTCCTGAAGAATCCTGCAGGGGTGGAACAAACAGACCTTTCATTCTCTTTCATTTAATCTAACCACTAAAATTCAGGACAGAAAATGTACAGATACAACTGTAAATAGACAATAAACATATTTAACACAAAAGCAGGTGTTCAGCAAATACATGTAGGGCACTTTAAATATTCAAAGTGGCTTCACCATGTTCTCAGTTACAAGGTAGTGTTTATATTTCTGAGGTGAGCCGTGGCAGTGTTACTGGCAACAGAATAGCACTGACCTTTTTTCTGCTTCCAGTTTGTCCATGCGTTTCCATAGCCGATTCACAAGAGCTTCTTGTTCTTGCTCTAAAGTGTTTTCCAAGTCGATCTTCTCACGTCTGAGCTAAAAGAACACAGAAGTTCCAAATACATGCAAAAATTGGAAAAGACTATTTTGGGACCACTAAGCAAAATTCAGTGATTACCTGTTCTAAGGTGAGCTGTTTGGAGATTGTGTCGTTCTCCAGCTTCTTGATCTTCTTCATCAGTTTGTTCACTTGAAACTCTTGTTCCTGTTCCAAGTGCTGCTCCAGTTCAGCTTTCTCATGTTGTAACTGAGCAAGACATGGAGAAAATAGACTTTAAACTGATAAAACTATGAAAATAGTGTGTGACAGACAAAAGCTGCTCAAGCCTCATATTTCTCTGTATTATTATTGAAAGGGACGGGAATAAAAGGGACTTTAATGGTTCTTATTTTCTTTCTACTTCCGGGTTTTAATTATATTTTGGTAACTCATTTATGTTTTTTAAATGCAAATAGTCATTGTATCATTTGGGTATTTTAAGGAAATTATTTTGTTCAGAAAGGATGCATTAAATTGATCAAAAGTGACAGTAAAGACATAACATTACAAAAGATTTCTATTTCACATAAATGCTGCTCTCAATTCATCAATCTTTAAAAATTGTGTCAGTTTCCTCAAAATAATATGAAGCAGCACAACTGTTTTCAACATTGATAAAATGAGAAAATATGCAGAGTCACAGGTGACAATATGCTTCTCTGCAGCTCTCTCTTCCCAACTCTATTTCTGCCTCTTTCTCACATGTTCCACAGGAAATTGAGGACAAACAGAATTCCTGTGACTCTTTAAGCCATAAGAAGTTCCTTAAAAAACAGCACTGCTGAAACGGTTCCCCAAGAGGGCATGAATCACTACCTCTAATGCAGATGAAACTCAAGAGTGTGGTGGAACTGGAAAGGGCCTTTTGAGGAAGTTGTTTACTAGTTAGGTGAGCTCGGAAACAGCAATCTATCCTCACGGTTTAAATCAGGGGTGGGGAACGTCCGGCCCCCGGGCCGTAACCGGCCCGCAAAACAGTTTGATGCGGCCCGCGAGTCAAATCCTCCCAAAAAAAAAAAAAAAAATTACTTCAGAACCTAAAATCTCAGCAATTACTTTTCCTGTGACAGAAAACACAAAATAGGCAAAGTGGCAAGCAGGGCGAGGCCAGTAGCGCGAGTGTTAATGAGTCACCTGCGCACCGGTTTCAAGTTTCTCACGGATGAGCTTCAGGGGCGCGCGCGCCGCACCGGTTTCAAGTTTCTCACTGATCAGCTTCGGGGCGCGTAAAAGGATCGGAACGAAGACAGCGGAGGACCAGGCATGGACTTTACTTTATGTGTGTGTGGTCGTCGTCCACGAGGAGCTACTGCTTTTACTTTCGTTTTGTCATTTGCGTATTAATGTATTAAAGTGGTTTAAACGTTTGCCGGTTCCCGCCTCCTTCTTCCCTGAACAAACCAACCACGTTACATTTAATATAATAGATAATATACAATATTATAAAATAACATAATATATTATAAAATAACATAAGAGAGTCGACGTTTCCGGGTGGTCGCTTCGCTTCCGACTGTGTCCGGGTCACAGTCAGAATGAACGCAACAGACATGTAACGTTAGCGGTGGTCATCGCTGATATGCATCATGGCGACTGTCAAAAAAAAAGAAAGGTAGATTCGCCGACAGCAAGTGGAATGAGTGGCCGACTAAAAGAGGAATGAGTCTGTGCTGAAAGAGTTGAGCCCAAGCTGTGGAAAGAGTATTATATTATGTGACTGTTTTTGTGCTTTTATCCACCTCTAAATAGCTATAAATTAAGCTTATGTCGTTTTAGTTTCATATTGTTAATTATTAGTTTCATAGGTTGTTAAACCTAAGACGAACTCTTCATATTGCGCTGCATTACTGTCAGTGTTGTTGACTATTACTGACGGTGGTTGCACTGTTAACGCTCGCGCAGCCTCTCGAGGAGAAATCTACGCAAATGAGCGCACACACACACTCAGGCAACATACTGCCTATAAAATATCTAAATGTGGAGTTTTTATATTTTTAACATATGTTAAGCAACCTCAATTATTTTTCCTGAACACCATCACGATTGAAAATGTGACATTGATTTCCTACAACAGTTCAATAAACAGTTAAAATTAAGTCACTTACATTTTAGATGCAATATTGGCTGTTTTTGTTCTGTTTCAGCAGCGAAAATAGTTCCAAACAAAAATCACAGCAGAACCACCGCGCATCTCACAGGAACACTCAACCTGTTTCCATTACTGAATGATTCAGCATTTTGAACGAATGATTGAGTCAAAGATTCAACGACCCATTCATAAACATCTGTCTCAATCTTGAATGAATCAGCCGTTTGAACAAATCGTTTGAATGAATCAATGAATCACTCATTAAGACGGTCGCCTGCCGCCACCTACTGGCGGTTTGTGTTATGTTTAAAAGTAGATCATTCTTTCCAACGTTTCTTATTTGTAAATTTAAATCAATTTCATAACATTATTTTATGCAATTGTAATTTTTCAGTGTAAATGATTTAATTTGATCAGCCCTATAGTGTCTTATTATTCGAAATAATTTAATTTATTGATCAAATTTAGGAATTTAAAATGAAAGATGAAGCATACATTTAATAATATTGGGGGAGGGGATGCCCTTTAAATGTGCAAATATTACAATATGCCGATTTAAATCAAAGCTAATTGAACACTGATGAGAATATTGTTTCAGAATAAATTAACAAAAAAAAAAAAAAAAAAATCCGGACGAGAAACTTTTTTACTCGGACAAGTGAATGACAGATTACTTGTCCGAAGGACAAGCGTATGAAAGGCTTAATGTCGAGCCCTGCCTATAGCAATGTCATCAGGATACACATACACCGGTAGGCAGTGGCCCACCTTACCGGGTGACCACGTCGTGGTCCACCAGAATTTATAGTTTACCCACCTCTTTTTTTACCACTACACCTCTGAAAAAAACGTACGAGTCCCAGTCATGCCGACCCTCTCTTCTTCCTTCCAAACACTGAACCTCATTACAATGGCCCTTAAAGAATGTTAAAAAATTGTAAATGGCCCTTGATAGGAAAAAGGTCCCCCCCCCCCCTGGTTTAAATGATCCCAGAAGGCTTGGTCAAGGGTGCTGCTGATAAAGCAGTTTTCGAACAACACTGAAGAAGACTTACCATCGAGATCTGCACACGATGGTGGAAACCATCTTATTCGACTTATTATGTGCACTAAATTTGCGATGCAATATGTGCTCTTGAGAAACATTCAATGCTCTGGTAAATGCATCAAATCTAATCTATGTTAGCAGCCATTTCTTCAGTGCTGACCACAGCAAGCAAATCCCAGACTCATATCGAACGACAGCCGAACACTTACTTGCATGAGTTTTCGAGAAAGCTCATTGGTGAGGAACTCCTCTTCCTTCTCATAGTTGACTGCTAGTGTTTCTTTCTCTTTCTGCAGGGCCTGAATCTTCTTGAACAGGGTGTTACTGATGAACTCTTCTTCTTGTTCTGCTCTCGCTTGCTAAAAAAAAAGATGGTTTAGGAAGCGCAAGAATGTTAGTCTACAGCAACTGAAAATACACCAGTCAATCAATCAATCAACATTTATTTGTATAGCGCTTTACAACAACCCTCAGGTATCCAAAGTGCTTCACATCAAGATTAAAAATAAAACAACATATCATACCATAACAGAATAAAACAATAAAATCAGAAAATGTTGCATAGTAACAGTAACTCATAATAGTTGTTTTCATCAAACTTTTTGACATTTCGATACATATCGATACTGAAATCGACTGATCTATAAGTTGTGTGCACATAAAGCCACCTCTCAAACAGCTCGAGAGTACTCAATTGAGTTCTTTTTCGTATAGCACTTTAACGGTCAAATACACACACAATTAGGCCTATGTCAAAATGTCAGTCCTGGAGAGTATTCAGGTAAACAGTCAGTTTTGGAACGTAAATAGATTAAAAAGAAAACACATTCTGTAACAGTATATTGGATCTGGGCGCAATCCCATAAAAGTGCAAATGGGAGTGTAAAGTTCTGCGGCTGATCTACTGAATGCACAAATTAAAGAACACAGATGCAGCAGTCCATTTCCACAACGACAATCTACCAAGAGCAGCACAAATTAGCATAGGGTCGCAAACAAGCAGAGCCGATGATAATCAGGTGCGGGTAATCTATGAACAACACAGACGCGCCAAATTAAAAATAACGTGGCTATGTTCAGAAAACCTCTTCCTCTGGTATTCCAAATAAATGAACAGGAGTGGAGAACATTCTCTCTTCTAACACTCTCTCTTCTATCACAGCATGTTAAGTGCCAAAAGGGTTAAGATATGCTGTTTTGGGCGTTAAATAATAGGGTAAATACTAGGGATGCACGATTTATCGACCACATATCGATTTCGGCTGATAAATGATCTTTTTTGATGTTATCGTTATCGGTCCGATAAGAAAATTGGGCCGATAGATAGATTATTTACTTCAGTTGAGAGATGCCGCTGTTCGCCATGATGGCTCTGAATGATTGGATTCGCTTCGAAAAGGAAGATACAGTTCAGTGCAACATGTGCAGCACAAATCTGTCACATTGGCTTCATAACATTATAATAAAAACACGCAAAAGAATGTTGTGAATTGTTGTTTGCCAGTGTTTCAGCGCGACGAGCGCGTTGTGGCGGAAAGAGCGCGTCTATGGAGTTTAGCCTTCATGACAAGCACAGTCAAGTTCTCTTGAGCATTCTGCGCCATTGTAAGTTGTAATATGTTTATTTTGTGTATATATATGTGATTAATCTAATATAGGATGTGTTTGGTTGAGTTAATGAACGATGCAGTAGCGCTTTATTGTACCGGTGATCATCTTTGCTGTGATCATCTTTGATCATTTTAGCGTTGCGCAGCTCAGACAGCAATGCACATTTATAACTATAATTGGGACTGTCATATACATGCCATTATAATGAGAACACTATTGTAATAAAACGTTGTGAATTCTCTGTTTAGTTGCCGTTTCAGCGCGTTGTTGTGAGAATAGCGCGTCCAGAACAGGGATTAGCCACACATTATGACCAGCACAAGTTCGATTGTGCATTCACGTCATTTTGCGCAGATAAGTTGTAATATAAAGTTGATGTAATATAAATATCTGATTAATCTCACATATGATGCATTTCGTAGATTTAAACAACCTGCTAGAAATGTTCTTCAGTTTCCCGGTGCTCGTTCTCTTCAGCTTCAGCGCGCGCAGATTAAACAACAATGCAAAACATTAAAAGCTATGATTGGGACTGTCATACAATTATAATTGTATTCACTATTGTAATACATTTGTAAATTCTTTGGGTTTGCATTCTTCAGCAACCGTTGAGTTGATTAACCTTCTAGCAATCAACCTTCTCTTCAGCTTCAGCGCGCGCAGCTCACACAGCAATGTCATTTGAAACAGTAACTAAGCTATTAAAGATGTTTACTATCAATGTAATATTAAAAAAAATTTTTTTTTTTTTTTTTTTTAAACATTGCGTTATAATTAATAACTAACATTATTTTGTTCTCATATTATTTTCATCAACAATATGGTTTAATTTAAAATATTTTTTTTCTTATTGTCCGTGCGGAGGCGATTCCATTTTATTGATCCATGGGACATCCATTTTGTTTCTTTATATGCAGCCCAATGTTATCCAATGACTTGTTTGCATTATTTATGTATTTTATTTTTTGTTAGGCAATAGATTTTTTGATAACACTTTACAATAAGGTCTCATTTGTTAATGCATTAACTAACAGAGAGCAATAGCTTTTGTTATTGTTAGTTAATAAAATATGTGCGTTCATGTTAGTTCACAGTGCATTGACTAATGTGTAAAATTAATTTGAAAAGTTAAGGAATCTTACACTGGTTCAAACTAGGCTATACTGTATTGTATAGGTTTGATTTATGTTAAAAGTGTTTGAGACAAGGCTTTTAATGGTGAGCCTTTTGTTATACAGGCTATCAAAGTATATAAAAAATTTTAATTTAGATTTATCGGCCAATATATCGGTTATCGGCTTTCAAATGTAAAGAATTATCGGTATCGGCCAAAATGTTCATATTGGTGCATCCCTAGTAAATACCAGTAAATTAACTACCGCAAATCTCAAATCATGTTTTAAGAATGTTGACAAATAAAAATTACATGAAAATATGTCTTTCAAAATATGACTAGTAAAAATATTTACAACATTCTATAACGTTCTCATGGCAAACATTTTTTTAGTGTCCTTGTTACACGTTACATGTAGTTACTGTAGTACTAGCTATAAGTATGCATACTTGCATGCGACTAACCCTAAACCTATAGTATACTCTCCTCCAATAATTTTTGCATCTGAAAGGGAAACACCTACAAATGCATATGTAAAAAAAATTGTATTCATGGCTTTTCATAACTAATTTTGTGCAACAGTCATTTTTTTTTATGCCAAAAGAGGGTTTGTGCTGGCGCAAGCTGTTAGGAGTCATATCATTTCTTTGTATGTTATGAAGAAAAATGCTTAAATGTGTGACACTTGAGATGAGAGTCAGAAAATCACAAGGCAACACTTTTTTTTAGGTAGATCACAACCATTGAATCATTTTTTACAAGGAATTTAAGAAAGTGGCCTTCTCTCACTAATGAATGCAGCACGAAAGACCTAAAAGCAAGTTTGTTTCTAAATGTGGCTGCAAGGATTTAGAGAAAGGAGGCAGTAAAAGGTGGGCTTTGGACAGCAGATAACATCATGAATGAAGATAAATCAAAGGCATTTCAGGACATGGTTTGGTTATAATTTATAGAGACAAGTCAAGTTCATCTTCGCAATGTGCCCCAAAACCCATGTGAGTTACATATAAGGAACTGAAAGTCTAACTCTAACAGAAAAGATATTTATTTCTACATATAGGTGTAACTATGTAGACATCTGCAGACCGTAATCCTGAGAGAATGGGAAGTGAATGATGAAGGAGTCTACGTAGATAAAAATAAGGATGAAATAAACCTGAGAAACCCGCCCAATCTGAGACCAACCGCTTTCTCAGTTTTAAGTGTACACATAAACATATTCTCACAACACACAAGAACAACTGTCAGATGATTATCAAATATTAACAAGCAACCAAAACAAACTGATGACAGATTGTACTGTACTATCATTAATATTTCATCCTCACAGGTTAATCAATCCATCATTAATATGTGATGATTTACATTACGTACTCAGTGTACTACATGCTAGATTTGTTTAACCCTATGCCTACAGTATCATATTTGATACGCACATTTCTAAGGCCTCTAAACTATTAACATGATGAAAACTTCACTGATAATAAACCTCCTGCACACAATCTACTACATGCCCTCTGTCGTCTGATTGATAGTTTATACTTAAAAAGCCTTTAAGGATAATTCTAAAATTTGTGGGGGTTTTTGCAGTCAAATTTTTAAATTCAAACGCAAGAATAACTTTAATATTGTTGTTGGTTAAATTTGAAGATGAACATTTACTGAAGCAACTCCATCCACTACAAAACTCCCATCCATCCTTTCATCCATTCTTTTTATAGAAACATTATGTTAAAATGTGAATCTGGCTTTTGAGGAATGTTTTTTGTACATGTCTCAATCATCATCATATTGCATTGTATTATATGTTTTGCCCCACAGAAATAAAACTACAGAGCTATGATCATAAAATTAAAGCATAACCTAATCTTATTACGACATTTTATTAGGAGAGATATAGAGAGAGAATTGACAACTGATATCAGTCTGCTAAACTATTATAAAGATCTCATTGATTTACAGTGCAAGCTATCAGAATTTCATATTTTGGACCATATAAATAACATCTGCACACAACAAATTGCATATTTTTGCTCAGTTTGGGCCTTTGAATAAAATGGAGGTGTTTTTTCCTCTTCGAGTACGAGTTCCACATTATCATACTAGAGAGCCACAAAGCCTGATGTATCAAATATAATACTGTGATGATATACTGAGAAATGTGAGTTTTGTATGTGAGTTGAGTTTTCAGTTGTTTAAGTAATAATAATTGCGTGTGTGATTAGTCACGCCTACGTATTTACGTGCTCGCGTCGGCGCGCACACTTAAAGAGAGAACGTTCGAGATGCGCTTCATTCATTGGTGAAGTTCTGATGAAGAAGCCCGCATCTGGTTCTTCTCTTCTTTCATTATTACTTTCCTTTTTCAGGAGTACTACTACAACCAATATCAAACGTAAAACACATATGAAGACCTTTAAGATCGTTTAATAATTTGTCTAAAGTTTCAATAAATTGTTCCATTAAAAAAAAAGCTTTAGTCATGCTTTACAGGTTTAAATTAACGTTATATATTGATGGTCAAATTATCAACAAGCTGCTAAGAGGGCAGATGACGCATTACCTGCTCACAGCATCATCACTAACCACATTTATTTAACAATATCGTGTGTTATTTTAATTTATTATGGGAGTTTTAACGATCGTGCTACTATTGGATCATTCTACTGCACTTTATTGTAGTGTCACTTAAAAATAAGACCAAGTTTCAATGAACCGTATATTTTATACTACTTCTGTAAACTATTAACTGTTACTAGACATTCGATTAAACCAATTGAGCTATCAAAATTAGGCTGACATTCCCTGAGTAACGTTAATTAACGTTACTGTCCCGAAATAACTTAAAATTCTACTGCTTAGCTTAACCAAGATTGACGTTTAGCGTTAACTGTCAGTTTCGTATACTCTAACCACAACTTCAGCGGAGTCAATAAAAGGGGACTAAAGGGTGTTTGTTTAGTAAATTATTTTTTTAAATGAACAAGGCATAACGGAAAACAGGGGACAATAAAAGCTAATCATTAGCACATTAGCTTTAGTGAGGCGTAAATGTAGCGTAACAGCAACTGTAAATGAGTTCAATAATACACTAAATGTTTGAACTAGTTATGGTTAGTGTTTGCTTCCATATTCATTCAGGTAAATAAGTATTAATAGTAAAGAAAGACAGCTGTGAATGACTCACTATGGTGACACTGGCTTTGCGCAAGTCTCTATTCTCCTCCTGCAGAGCTTTACACTTCAGTTTAAATGTCTCGAGCTCGATCTTCAACACTTTATTCTCTTGCTGTAAAGATGCCAGGCGGTTCGACAACTCCTCTAGACGGAAGGAAGAGATGAGAATGGAGGAGGACGAGGATGAGGAGCAATGAGGGGTGGCCCCGTCCGTGTCGCTCTCACTCGCACTATCCGCCATCATTGAGCATCAGCGCGTGTGTGAGTCAGTCAGTGAGAGGATGAGGAATGAAATACTGCTGTTGAACGCGAGTCGCCACTCGCTACAGCGACCCCTACTGGTGCGATTCATTACAGCCAGTCGCATGGGGTTAGAATTGTTGCATTATTCCAAATAAATAGATTGAGATTGCCAAATAAGGCTGAATCCCAATTCTCTGTCTTACCCCTTCCCCTTAGTTTTGCACGTTCACGTTCACAAAAAATATTCAAATTCACAAATAAATAGATTAAAATCCACAAATAAATGTTAAAAGTTTCACAAAAATTCATAAAATTCACAAATAAATAAAATGAGATTTGCAAATAATTGTGTTTTATGTCACAAATTGTTGTCATAAATAATTATGTCACAAACACAACTCTGCCTGCATGGCATTAATTTGTGGATCGCTTCCGTGCATTTGTGAATCACTTTCTATGCATTTGTGAATCGCTTCCTGTGCATTTGTAGATCCCCTGCACACATTTGTGGATTTTTGAAACATTTTTTGGTTTGTGACAAGGTTTGTGACAAAACACATTTGTAAATATTTTTTTTATTTGCAAATCTCATTTAATTTATTTGTGAATTGTATTAATTTTTGTGAATATATTTTTTTGCATTTATTTGTGAATCTCAATCTATTTATTTGGAATAATGCAACAATTCTAACCCCATAGAATCGGTTCGTTCAAACGGTTAGTTCTGGAAATGTGTGGGGCTTGAATTCAGGCACGATTGGGCTCAACAATAATTCTGCTCTTTTAACTTTTTTTGTTCAAAGGCTCATAATATCCCTAAACAGGCGTAAATTGTTTCTTAGACGTTTGCTGAAGCAGCACAGACAGTGTAATCATGTGCAAGCTGCTCATTTTCTCAGCTGATCAGATTTAGCCAGATTTAAAAATATATATATTTCTAAAGATTATTGTGGCACACATGTCTATTTGTATGTTTAGTATCAGTTTAATCAATTACTAAAATATTACATTCAAAAAATATATTTTTATAATATAAAAAGCTCCACCTGCAGGAAGACAATGGGCTCTATGCACGGCGGTATTTCCGGTGAAGGTCTAAGGATGCTCGATTACTTCCGCCGATCGTAGAGTCCAATGCTATACCGAGAATTTATATTGGTTTTTATACTCTATTGCTATACTAAAGAAACGTTAGTCACAAAAACAGACAAAACAGACACCCCTCGTTTTGTTTATCCTTCTTTGTTTATTATATTAAATAAACACAACTATATATAAAATTACATCTAAACGTATTAAAGTTTCGTTTCAAAGACGAGAGGACAGTAAATTTTGAAGACTCTGCCATAATCCCGTTTTCCTCGGTTTTCCTCCGCTTTAAATCTTCCCAACCGGAAACGCAAGAGCATCCTTGCATCAAACGCGGAAGTTATGCGTGCATATAGCCCATTGTTGGCCTGCCAAGTATTATTATTTTTAATTAAAGCAGCACTAAGTAGGAATTCCGTTTTTGTCAAACAGCGACCCCTAGAGTCGCTGTGGAGTACTTGTACTGTCGTGAATAGCACTCACGCAGAGATGGCTCGCACTCACGGCCGGATCCCCTCCCCCTGTACACCGGTACCTGTTCAGTAGGATGGACGCTGTAACGAGTTGAAATAAGGTATGGCCCCTTTAAGAGCTGCGCGCGCCCTGTTTAACTGTCGGCAGTCTGTATTGTATGTGCGTCTCGAACACCACATGTATACAGCGCCGGGTTATTTCTGTTTGATGCTCATTTTATCAGATCTGTTTTATGTTTTTTTTTGCCGTAAAGCAATTCGTTACCTCGCGAGACCTGATATCACACGATACTTCCTAACACTGAGGCCGGCGGCCGCCGGCCCAAAGTTGCAAGGGTGGTTTTGCGGCTCACAGGCACCAGGGGGGTGCGAGACGACCACCATTCAACACGAAATCAGTAATATAAACATAACAATGACTCCAAAGCTGTTCGGTTAAGGTAAAAAAGTTACTTAGTTCACCTTTAAATAGTCTGTCAAATGTTTAGCTGAGTATTCCATGTAACCAACATTCCAAACAAATCTTGCATTCTAAATAGTATGAACTGCAAGCCAATGCAATTTCTGACTGTTGAATCCAAATTTCACTAGTTGAGACTGCCAAAGGAAGCTGAACACTGCTGAAATATTATTTCTTTGGTAATATGTAATTTAAGGGTTACTTCACCCGAACATTCTGTCATCAATAACTTACCCTCATTTTATTCCTTCCGTTTATCTTCGGGACACACACACACACACACTTTTTATATTCTGTCATTTTTGTCCATCCTTTGAAAGTCACAGAACCAAAATATTCAAGCTTTAAAGAGATTTTAAAAGTAATCCAAATCAAGCAGTTTAATCCAAGTCGTCTACTTTTAAGAACATTTATGTTTTAAGACATTATGTCAACCAAGACCATTTTGTCCACACTTCATCAAATGTTGAGTGCCTACTGTAAAGAAAAAAGATCAAACAAATTGTAAAGTATACAGTATTTGTACAGTATAATTCTATGTAATCATTATGATATAGGGCTACATTTGTACAATAATAAAACACTGGACAGGATGATTGTTTTTACTGCTTTACACTAATGAGGAATGTGTGGGGGAAATGTGCTTAATTATAATGAGAATAATATTTTATGTCAATATCTTATGTTTCTTTTGTTTTAGGGATGAATATGCCCTAGACATGACTTTCATTATGAGATTCCCCCATGTAAATGTTAATGTTGGAAAAGAAAGAAAACACATTGAGGGTTTGAACACAATTTATTATAAGCTTAAATAATTAATTTGATCATCCAGTGTATGCTTTTTTTTTCATACATATGTTTGTTACCAGATTTATCATCCATTAATGCTTGGGTGATTTCTCAATAATGCACCGAAACCAGAGTAAAATTTCCCCCAAAACCACAGCAGCCTTGAAAAGTAGTAAAACACTGCTAGAATGATTACAAATGACAGGCTGACAGAAAGACTTCTACATCTTCGAGCCAACACACACGAGAACAGTTAAAAGTGCATCACGGCAGTCCACATGACGCATTCCGGTGAGCATTCGGATTTCAGTAACTGTCACTATCTGTAACTGCATAGGGAAACCGGCGCTGTGATGTGACGGGACACAGTGTATTTTAGTGAAGCTGAACAATGAGTCAGTGGTGGTGTGATACTGTCATCTTTGTTAAAAAAACAACAAAAAAAGGTAAGCATTAGCAAGGCTGTGAGTGTACACGTACAGAACATCATTCCCCCTTCTCTTGTGTGTTATGCCGTTTAAAAAAATCAAAATAAAGTGATTCACATGCATGAAAATATTAGTACTCTGAAGAAATCTTTGAACAAAACTACAGCTGCTCCAATGTCCGTACCACTGAGAGCCGCAGTAGGTTTAAAAGAAATATCAGTTGTTAAAATCAAGCTGGCTTTTTTCATTTACAAACATTTTCTGCTAATAATTATACAAGTGCATGTGAAGCGTTCCCTTAAAATTGGAATCAGAATTGGTAGTTCATTCCTACACACTTGCCAGTGCATTAACAATATTGTGACCCACTTTCGAATTTATACAGTGTCATTTATATACATCCTAAGATCCAACAGCATTATACACCCCGACATTATGGGTCCGAGAGGAAAAAAATGTAAGGCGAGTGTTGAAGGTGATTCAAACAAGTCTCTCCATTTCTGTCAACCAGCAATATGTTTCGTGGCCTCTTTGGTCACGGAAGTGCTTGAGCGCTGCCATGGAGCGTCTCGCATCGGACGCCCCACCCCAGTCGATTGAAACGTCGCACCAACAATGTCTTCTCGACCATTAGCCATTATTGACAGAAACACGTTTTTTTTTTTCATGCTCATGCGAAATCAAAAGTCGTCTGGCTGAAAACCATTTGTTTTTATGAAAGCTGCAGACACACGTTCCTCATCCCCTGACCTTGTGTACGCGTTTCCAGTGACCTTTCTCCCAGGAAAATGGTTTCGAAACACTTTCAAATCTGAAACACAGTGACATACAGGACAAAAAGAAAGAAATTATATTTTTTGTAGAAGTGACATAATACGATAACCAAGAACATTTTGATCACACTTCCCCATATGCTGGGTGCTCAAGCAAGCATCATTTTCAATTTTAGGCAAACTATCCCTTTAAGAAATGCCTTTTGATATACATTGCAAAGGCGCATTCAAAATTCTGAATTTCACCTCAAAATCTAAAGATAAAAAATAAAAATATATATATTTTTCACAAAGAAAATGAAAATATGCGGGAAGCGGAAATTTCCAAACATCTGAGAATACAGTAGATTCAAAATCGAATTTAATCTTGGAAAAAAAAAAGCTTTAGGATTTGGAAAGAGTAGAACAAATAAATATTATGAAGTAAAATCCACAACAAAATATTTATGATCCTGCACTGTTTCTTGGCCAGTAATTAAATTGAAGCAAACCTTATAGTTAACAAAAAAAAAAAAGTTTCATTAATTAAATTTCATGTTGACATTAGATGTCAAGTCAATGTGCGAATTCACAACGCAAGACCCAAATGACCCTTCAAAACACTTTGTCTTGGTCTAGAGCTCTAGACACAGTGCTATCAGTAAGAGAACAACTGCATGGACTAATTTGCTGTGTCTGCGTGTCATCAGTGGGCTGCGGTCTGCTGGAAAAATCGCTGTAACAAAGCACATTTCTCTGGTGACTATTGTGTTGATGACTACACACAAATCTACCGCCTGATCGGGCAGGATTCTACACTGCTCTGCTTTCTACTCATTGACTTCCACTGACCTTTCTAGTTGTATGCCTATGGGCTTACCAAAAAGAGCACAACTGTTACGATTGACCCTTTTCCTCCCTTTGTCTTCCTTCCTTCTTTTTGCCCTTCACTCCTCCTCCAGTCTGAAATGACAGAGATAGATAAAGCATGTTAGAGATGACTCTAAAAGAGTTGTCATACAACACAGTGTCTGCAG